GTGTTTATAAACGAGACTAATTGAGAACGAAAACATTCGGCTGAGTTGCTTCCGCAAACATTTCCACCGAAGCGCACGCGCGCGCGGATGGCTTCGCGATGCTCCCCGCTTTTTGCGCCACGTTGGCCGTGAGAGGGGGGGCGAGAAGGACACTACTAGGGTAGTGCCAGGCTAGATGGCAGAGGTGTGGACTCGAGTCATGTGACTTGGACTCGAGTCAGACTCGAGTCATGAATTTGATGACTTGAGACTCGACTTGGACTTGCATAACAATGACTTTGTCCCACCTCTGAGGTGTGGACTCGAGTCATGTGACTTGGACTCGAGTCAGACTCGAGTCATGAATTTGATGACTTGAGACTCGACTTGGACTTGCATAACAATGACTTTGTCCCACCTCTGCTAGGTGGACCTTAAGGCTACTGGCCAGTTGAAGGCAGTCGCCCTCTAGCAACAACGGAGGGCAGAGGAGCGACGCTCACAACAACGAGCGGAGCGCCGGGTGGCTAAAGCACAGCGAGTTGGCACAGTAGAGGGCACAGGCGGTGCATCGGCTACTCATCTCAGTCAGTCGACCCGTGGCACCTGCTGGGTCTGCCCCGTGACCTCCTGCCGGCGGGCGTTCGACACTTCACGTGGCCTCAACGTGCACATAGCCTGGCACAAGCACCGTGGGGACGTCACCGCCACTTAGTGGCGAATGGCGGCTGTTGTTATTGTTATTGAGAGGGGGGTGAGCCTGCCTCGGCTAACAAAGCCATTCACAGAGGGCAGCCGGGGTCAGAACAAAGAGCGGACGCAGTTGAGTTAAATCGCTCGACGGAGTTGCGTGCGCCCCCCTCCCTCCCCACCAGCCCACCAGCCCCTTGCAGATCAAACAAAACGGAGATTTCTCGTGCCGCGCGTAACCGACGTGAAGCTGTTGAACGCGGCTCTCCGGTTACAGACGTGCGCTCGGATTGCCTGGCCTCAAAACATTACACCTCTAATTACAGGGGGGTCAACATCTAATGGGCAGTGTTGAAATGGTGACTCCTTGCAAAGGGTCTCTCGTAGCTGATTGCTCGAGGTTTAAGGATCGTCACCATTGCGGGATTAAGCTAATGTGGGGCCTGTAACATCATGTTATAAAGGGGCCTTTAAAAAAACACGTAAATATTAAAACACATAAATGTTTTACTTGCATAGTAAAGTAATTGTATTTTTAAGTTGCTATACAGCCAGATAATACGACAAATCGCTAACCTTAAACACCCAGTCGTTCATAAAAGTCGAAGGCGGTATAGTACTATAGTAATAGAGCAAGTGCAGAATCACTGAACCGGAATTGATAGCTTGAAATCATTCATCGCGGGGCCCTTGAAACTGCGGGGCCCATAGCATTTGTAGCTACTACACGTGTAGTTACTACACGTGTAGTAGCTACTACGTGCAACTACTTGTGCTGGTGGGATAATCCGGCACTGGTCGTCGTCACCGTTCTAACGGAGACGCGGGCGAGCGCTGTCGAAACTCACTGGAAGGGGCATTCGCGCTCGCGGGGACATTTTTCTGGTCGTTTTCTTCTGAATTGTATTATAAATGCGTGTCCTTGGCAAAACAGGGGAAAATATACGTTTCAATCCGGGAAAAAACATGTTTTTGTGTGTTTTTGTTTATCCCTTGTGATGGGACTTTGTAGGACGAACGTTGAGGTGTATAATGGCCACGGGGTGACCACTACGGCCTGAATCGGTTTGTAATAAGGTAGGGTACTGATCAGCGGTTGACAGGGGTGGAGGTAGGAATGAAAGATAGCAGCAGCCACTTCGTGCGGACCCACTCTTTGTTGTCGAGTTTCTCAAGTTTCATTCATTAGGTATAGCCCTGTGAGCCATGCGGCTCTTGAGTCGGGATCAACCGCAATGAACTAAATATGAACAGAGAACATCTTAAAGCGACAACGCGGAACAGAAACATACTGGATAAACCAGCAAATCTTCCAGAAAAAAACCCACCGTATTTAAACGCTGTGTGCAAAAATCCCAGTTTGTTATGTGATGCAAGTCAAACAATATCAACCATAAAACAATTTAGATTAAAGTTATCAGGCCAACTCTTTTTTTTTTCGGTAAAGTCACGTAGGTTAAAAAAGAAAAACAAATCAATTAATGCACGACGTTTCGGAGGCAACACAAGCTTCCGACTTCAGGTGAAACCGTCGTGATTTAATTTATTTGTTTTTCTTTTTTAACCTACGTGACTTTACCGAAAAAAACCCATAGAGTATGAAAGCTTCAAATCGAGAATGATCAGGCCAACTCTGCACTTCCGCAAGAAACATGGCTTAACCATACGTTTTCGAAATGACCAAAATAAAGCTACAAAAACAATGTAACAACAGTAATCGTAGGGGTGAGAATCGACGACGATTGCCACCGCACGTCGATCATCGATCTGCCCGGTCCATCGATCATCGATCTGCCCGGTCCATCGATCATCGATCTGCCCGGTCTCCCGACTGCGACAGAGCGCTCTCCACGCAGAGTCCGAGGGAGGCGCGCGTGCCCCCTGGTGACGATTGTGGAGCCTCGCAACTTCCAAAACATTCCCTGCATCTCGATTTAAAGCTTTCGTGACTGCAGGGATTCATCTTCTTGGTTCTTTCGGTAAAGTCACGTAGAATGGAAACAATAAAAATAATAAATAAACATAATAAAATAAATAGTGAGAATTATTTTATTTTGTTTTCCATTCTACGTGACTTTACTGCATCAGTCGATGAATCGACATCACATTTAGCCACTGCCGCGCCTCGATAATCATCATAGTTGCCGCTGATATCAGTTTCACACACCAACGATCCCGACAGATGAATAGTTACACTTAGGGGCCGGCCATATATGACGTCACGCACCTAGGGGGGGGGGGGGAGTCAGACATTTGTGACGATGTGTGACGAGGGGGGGGGGGGGGAGAAATGTGACGTCACATCAAAATGCGCAACTTTAAATAAATATAGACAACACGTTCTACTTAATTAAATATACTTTTTAATAATTTTTTTCTCCTACAACATCAGAGTGCAGCGCCACATTAAATACGCACTACAATGACAACAGTTTAAAGCGATTTGAAGAAGCGATTTGAAGAATGTTTTATTTATATTGGGGGGGGGGGCAGCGCTTTGTGACGTCATATTAGAGGGGGGGGGGTCTGACTGTTTGTGACGCCGCGTGACGAGGGGGAGGGGGTCAAAAATCGTCCAAAATCGCGTGACGTCATTTATGGACGGCCCATTACGATCTCACTGATCGTAACGCCTATAGCTCAGCCCAGCAGCTACGCCAGCAGTCACTGATCGTGATAAGTCAGTGATCGTGATGCGGAGAGTTCAAACCCAGCAGCCGGTCCGTTAAGTGGAAGTCTTCGATCCATTGCTTAGGGTCTCAGTTTAAAAGCTCGTGTATTATTGGTGGGGGGGAGGGGGTTGTACTTTGGTTGATGTGGTGCAAAAACGACTGCTAGACCTCCTGCAGATATTGCTGTGTGGGGAGTTGGACAAGACCAGATCTGACATGGGAGACCTTTGCAAGGATCTTTGTGACGAGGCGACCTCGCCCAGAGATGGATATAGACCCGGGCACGATGCCAAGGGGATTGAACGCGCGTGGGAGTCGGGCAGCTGCCCCCCCCCGCCCAGACTGGGCAGCATTGGAATCCCGACAGTTCTATTCGGGTTTGCTGTGCCACTTGTTGGCTCACGTCTTTGTGCAGTCAAATCCCATAAGGCGGACAACAGCGTATCATGCCTAGAGCTCAGCACAGCAGTCACTCAGCAGTCAGTCACTGATTGTGATTGTCACTGATCGTGATGCCTAGAGCTCAACCCAGCCCCCACTCCACCAGCCACTCATCCACTCAGCCACTCAGCCACTGAGTCACTCAGCAGTCAGTCACTGATTGTGATTGTCACTGATCGTGATGCCTAGAGCTCAACCCAGCCCCTACTCCACTCAGCCACTCAGCCACTGAGTCACTCAGCAGTCACTGATTGTGATTGTCACTGATCGTGATGCCTAGAGCTCAACCCAGCCCCCACTCCACCAGTCACGCAGCAGTCAGTCAGTCATCTGATGGTGGCAGTCACTCTGCTCATGACTACACTCTGCAACACAATTGTTGATCCTGGGATGTAAGTGTTATTTCGTAATTGCTTATGCCTACAAAGTACAGAGAATGGCTATTATTCCCCACAAACTTTGCTTTTGTGACCAGGACAGTGATATTTTGAAATGTAGCTATTTTCAATGATAAAACGGGCGAATTTGTGTCTTTTCGTTCACATAAAGTCAGAAAAAAACATATGAATCAAAATTAACACGTATATATACTAAAGTAATACACATTTTACTACAAAAATTTAGAAGTGAGTAGTTTTTCGAGATTTTTCCTCCCCACAGAGAACTCGGTCCGCTGTGGCCAGTCCCGCCTGTGGTAGTGCGCCTTGGTGTCTACATATTTTGCAGTAATTTTTGTATTACTTTAGTAAAAATACATGTTACTTTTGATTAATGTTGTTTTATTCTGACTTTATGTGAACGAAAAAACACAAATTCGCACGTTTCCTCATTGCAAATAGGTACATTTCAACACATCACTGTCCTGGTCACAAAAGCAAACTTTGTGGGGAATAATAGCCATTCTCTGTACTTTTGAGGCATAAGCAATTAAGAATTAACACTTACTACTAACCAGGAACACACAAATTGATTGTTAAACAGTGGCATCACTTCTGGAATCGTTTACTATCGATTCAGGTCGGGCTCTGGACGCGCGCATCGATTCCTCGCGGCTTCGGCAATAATAACGACAACGATTCCCGCCCCCCCCCGCCCACCGGAGGCGATTCCACCGGGGTTCGTGATTCATGCGCGAGGAATCGATTACGTGTAGCGTGCCGATGGAGTCGGTTCCACGTTAAATAACTACGAGCTAATCACGAGGAATCGAATCGATCTCAAATCTCCGTCTCGCGCTTTGTTTGGGAGTGTTCAACAACACCGCCGCCTTAACAACACCGCCTCATCATCGTCTTCATCGACACCACGTCTCTTGCTGCCCCTCGTCTCATCGTTCTCGTCTCATCGTTCTCCGCGTCGTCTCCGCAGAGATGTGCGGCTGTGTACTGGGGCAGGTGAGTTCGGCCGCAGCGCTGATTTTCATCTCCCGTCTCCACTCGCTCTCTCTCGCTCTCTCGCCTGTCTCTCATCTCTCTGTGTTTGGGGTCATGGCTTGATGGGATTGGGGTTGGGGTTATATGGCTTGATGTTGGGGTTATATGGCTTGATGTTGGGTTTAGGGGTTGTGGTTATGGCTTGATGTTGGGGGTATGGCTTGATGTTTCGGGTTTATGGTTTGATGTTTGGGGTCATGGCTTGATGTTGGAGTTATATGGCTTGATGTTGGGGTTAGGGGTTGATGTTGGGTTTAGGGGTTGGGTTATGGTTTGATGTTGGGGTAAGGAGTTGATGTTTGGGGTTATATGTCTTGATGTTGGGGTAAGGGGTTGATGTTTGGGTTTAGGGGTTGATGTTGGGGTTATATGGCTTGATGTTGGGGTAAGGGGTTGATGTTTGGGTTTAGGGGTTGATGTTGGGGTTATATGGCTTGATGTTGTGGTTATATGGCTTGATGTTGGGGTAAGGGGTTGTGGTTATATGTCTTGATGTTGGGGTAAGGGGTTGATGTTGGGGCAAGGGGTTGATGTTGAGGTTATATGGCTTGATGTTGGAGTTATGGCTTGATGTTGGGGTTATATGGCTTGATGTTTGGGTTGAGGGGTTGATTTTGAGGTTATATGGCTTGATGTTGGGGTTATATGGCTTGATGTTGGGTTTAGGGGTTGATGTTGAGGTTATATGGCTTGATGTTGGGGTTATATGGCTTGATGTTGGGTTTAGGGGTTGATGTTGAGGTTATATGACTTGATGTTGGGGTTATATGGCTTGATGTTGGGTTTAGGGGTTGATGTTGGGGTTATATGGCTTGATGTTGGGTTTAGGGGTTGATGTTGGGGTTATATGTCTTGATGTTGTGGTTATATGTCTTGATGTTGGGGTAAGGGGTTGATGTTGGGGTTATATGACTTGATGTTGGGTTTAGGGGTTGATGTTGGGGTTATATGTCTTGATGTTGTGGTTATATGTCTTGATGTTGGGGTAAGGGGTTGATGTTGGGGTTATATGTCTTGATGTTGTGGTTATATGTCTTGATGTTGGGGTAAGGGGTTGATGTTGGGGTTATATGACTTGATGTTGGGTTTAGGGGTTGATGTTGGGGTTTAGGGGTTGATGTTGGGGTTATATGACTTGATGTTGGGGTAAGGGGTTGATGTTGGGGTTATATGACTTGATGTTGGGTTTAGGGGTTGATGTTGGGGTTATATGACTTGATGTTGGGTTTAGGGGTTGATGTTTGGGTTTAGGGGTTGATGTTGGGGTAAGGGTTGGGACTGAGCTCCGGGGCTGTGGCCTTGCCGCCGTGGGAGCTGTGGTCGCCAAGTGCTCCCCCCTCCGCGTGGCGTGACGCCACCCGCTCGGTGGCCGTTCAGCGCCAAGCGACTGACGCTGCCATAGGAACGTGGAATTTCCATCCCTCGCTCTTCGTATCCACCAAGGCAAACGGAGCGCTGCTCCATGTCGGAGGCGCTACGCTGTATAAGGGACCGTCCATAAATGACGTCACGCACCTAGGGGAGGGATCAGACATTTGTGACGGGGGGGGGGAGAGAAATGTGACGTCACATCAAAATGGGCAACTTTAAATAAATATAGACAACACGGTTCTACTTAATTAAATAGACTTTTTAACAAATGTTTCTCCTAACGTCAGAGTGCAGCGCCACATTAAATACGCACTAGAATGACAATAGTTTAAAGCGATTTGAAGCATGTTTATTATGGGGGGGGGGACAGAGCTTTGTGACGTCATATTTGATTGGGATCTGAATTTTTGTGACGAGGGCGGTCCAAAATCGTCCAAAATCGCGTGACGTCATTTATGGACGGCCCCAAACTCCACCGGACGCCGCGTGTTTGGCGGCGGCTGGCCTCCCTCCTTGTGGCATTTTGGCTTCGCTCTGTTGTTGTTGTTGTTATTGTTGTGGGTGGTGGTGGTGGTGGTGGTGGTGGTGAAACAGCCATAAGCTCCAGCGTTGGTGCTCCCAACTCGGTACGAACGCTGAACCCCATAACCAAGTGGAGGGCCAGCGCGAACCCTCCGAGTTCTACGCCTTAGTAGTTGGTACAAGATCAAACAATGCAGCGCGCAACAACAATTCAAAGGAAGCGTCACAATTAAAGTTAAAAATAAAACCCGCGCAGGCTTCCGCCCCCCACCCCCGTCCCACTTCCCAAAATTGTCTCGTTCTGCGTTCTTCATCTGTGACTTCACACAGCAATCAAGGCCCTCGCCATTTCGAGTCTCGTGACCTTTCCAATCGCAGTAACCAAGCTGAAGCCTGCCTTGTGTTCCAGTACAGGACTGACAATGCCCCCCCCCCAAGGCTCCCCCCATCCCCGTAAGAATTTCACTTTGTTTTGTGATTTAGATTTTGGAAGTTAACTGGAAAAATGGACGAGAATGCCTCCCCACTCCATCGGGATCCCTGGCAGTGGTGCAGTGGCACGATCCGATCTCGTGGCTCCCATCTGCACATTTGATCATCCTCCCTTCTCTCGGGGTGTGTTCCCTCTCCTTTGGTGGCAGTCACTCCATCACCCATCATCATCACCCCCTTGTCGTGATGTCTCCAGCACAAGCCCACATGGTCAGGTTAATTCCGTGGGAATTGCCTGTTAGGATGGGGATGTTTTAGTTTTATTTGCATGCGTTTGGGTGATTTGTTTACCTGTTATTGTACTTTTCACTACTGTTATGCTTGTGGATTGTTTGTTGTTGTAACGTTCTTACCCACCCCTACTGGACATCTGTGAAAAATAGCTTTATAGCTCATCGGATTCCTCGATTATAAATACATGTTCTGATTCTTCAATATTTAATAATGTGATGCCTAATTTTGGTTTATTTCCCACTTCCATATATTCCTGATTCTGTCTCTGTAATTCCCAGCATGTGTCTTTATGCTTTGCACTTTTCAGCCACTATTGAAAGTGTAAAGAGATCAGCGTTAATGTTTCCAGAATGGAGCAAGATTTGTTTTTTATGATAAGAGCTTGGGGTGAAAATAGGAGACGATGGGAGGGAGTTACAAAGTGGAGCAGTAATAATGAGAAGAGTTTGTGACCTGCGGTTTGATTTGGTGTTTGAACGCAGAGCAATGAATGATGAGATGGAACGGGCAACATCTGGCTGGTAGAATGAGACCCATCATGGGTGGAAGGAATCGACAAGTGAAGTTTATGGGTAACGGTAGTCGTGATGGAAGAGTGATAAAGAGGCAACTAAACGAAACTATTTTCATCTTACCAGGGTAAGGCCCACTGAGCTGCATAGCTCTTTTACAGGAGGGACCGGGCCACAAATGATAGCTCCAAAAAGTGGCTTATCACTTGGAAATGTATGTCAGCCAAATACTCTAAAAGAATGTTTCTAAATGTGGAGGAAAAACCGGAGGACCCGGAGAAAAATCCACGTGACCACGGGGAGAACATACAAACTCCAAATCTACAGGCGTCAGGGTCGTGTTAGAACTGTTGACCTCCTGCGTACCAGGCAAGGTAGTTAACATTTCGCCATCGTGACTGACCGCCGGCGAGCGAGTGATCTGGAGTGAATTGGGGAGCGTTGGATCATCAATCACCCTGACTGCTGCTTTACGTTGCATTCTGCCAGTGAGGTAGGAACTGGGAACTCCATCCCAGCCAGGACAGCAGCGGGATTCCACCTGCTGCCACGTGTGCGCTGCGTGTAGCAGCGGGAATAGTTGGGAGCGTGTCTGCGGCTTTGGCACAGAAAGAAAAATTGACCTTCTTTCATGTCTCCTTAGCCAGATGAGTAACGCAGATGTTGCGCCAAGCAGATGAACGGTTTCTCCATGGCTGAGAATATCATGCATAGATATGATGAAACTGTGGTGTAGTCAGCTTTGCGTGCGATTATCTCTGATCGGGTTTTCTTTATTTTAACGTGACTCTGTTTCCCAGTCCTGCTCTTGCTCAGCTTGTTATTCGTTTTTATCATCAGTAATTGCCCCTTACAGTGGTGTATATTCTCCTGTGCTTTCGAGTTGTGCCCCCTCCTCTGACAGATATCTGCCGCTGTTGATGATGATTACGACGGCGGTGATTGCAAACGGCTAATTTTTTTGCAGCCGAATCATCTTGTGGTTTTTTCTGAGCCAAAAGGAGAAATTTTTATTAACGCGGCCCAGCGGTAGCACGTTCACCACTTGTTGCCGTAGTATCGCGGTTCGAATCCAGTGGCCACCCTGGTAAACACTACGGTGTGTAACAACCATGACATTGCTACGTGTCGTCTGCTTTACGGTGGACGTTAAAGACCCCCCTGATGTTTGCCAAGAGGAGGCCACTGTGTGACTGGCGTCAAGGTCCAAATTTTGCAAATTAGAAACTTACACCACGATAGAGGTTTTTTTTGTATTAGATCGCGTAAATGTGAATGTGTCGTGAAACCCACCACCACCCAACACAGCCAATTAGTAAGGTTTGTCACGTAAACAAAACGTGCCAATTAGTTGCTAGTTCAGCACACCGATGTGTTGGGGAGAGTAAACCCACAACATTTACAATTCAAGTACGATGTTTCGCTGGTAATTACAACCAGCCTCATCAGACAACAGCCAAACTTGTACTAATTCGCTGTGTCGGGTGGTGGTGGGTTTAGCAACATATTTATATTCACGCGATCTAACCCAACGAACCTCGGTTATGAATAACATTGGCCGAGAAAGCCTACGTGTTAAAAACTTCCTCGCAAATTGCTCAATTGCGATTATACACAGCGGCAATCATCTATCTGCCCCCTTCCGGCAGACTAATGCCCCAGGTCACACTCGCAAATTAGACCCGTTCCTGATGATCTCTTCGAGTTCTCCCGTCGTTTTAAAGCAAAATCAACTCGAAACGTGTTTGCCCAGTGCTGCGAGAGAGAGAGAGAGATGTGCGCTGGAGCGACGTCGACACAGAGACCCGCGTCTGTGCCGTCTGGTGGTGGTGGCCGAGCGCCATTCCTTCGTCGTCACGGGGACAAAATAAGCGCACGACGAATCTCTCTCACTCGAACCATAACCACCATAACAATTGCCAAGCAAATGCCACAGAAACATTTCAGCCCCCGGTCTCTGCAACTACGACCGCATTCACAGCGACCAAAAAAAAACGGAAAAAGTCAAACAGAGATATCTCTCAGTGGCCGGTGTCCCCCTGGTTCTGCCGCTGTCAACGGAAGATATTTAGCTTCAGTCGTTGACATGGAACCCTAAGAGCCTGAAGTGTGTCACTTTGCCTGAAGCTTAAGCTTCCTTTGTCGGAGGCTCACAGAGTCAGACTGAGAGATCCATTAATGGGTGTCTATTAACAGTTCCTGCGAGGCAACTGGTACCGGGATCCATATCGGCATCGCTTGAATACCCGGCATAACACTCCCACGTAACTGTCAAAGGGCAGGCTGAGAAGCCTGCGGAGGGAATGAGTCCAAGGGAGCTTGATAATTTTTTTGGGCAGATGCGATTTTTGAAAAGAAAAAAAAAACCTTTCGTGAATTACTAAGCTACACATTTAAGATGGAGAGAGATGGTAGCCTTCATACGGTGGCTCGCCCGTTTCTGTGTTCGTCGCGTTGCCTTCAACGCAACTGAATGGCGTCATCTAGGCGAAGAGCATAACTGCGCAAATTTCCGCCTGAAGACCTTTCATCGCAGCTGGCAGACCTCACCAAGTTGGAATTTAGCTCCTGAACAGATCGCTGCCATAACTCAAGAATGGAATGGCTGTGTTTACAATTTTGAGAGGCTCTTGTTTTGTGAGACTGGTTTTTTTTTCACGCGAGAGACAATGTCTCAGTCTGGTTGAGAATCGGCAAAAAACTAAACAAAAAAACGAAGTTGGTCACACGCCAGGGCGTTGGAGGCTGTTTACGAAGCAGAACTTGAACGCTCGCCCACAGCACGCACGCTACGTCTGCAAATTAAACATTCTGCGCGTGCTACTTTTGAACTTTTATGCTGTTCCACGGCCCCTCCCTGGTGTATCTTCACACAGCTGTGTTTAAAACACATCATCAGTCTTTTCTTTTTTATTGCTAAAATGCCTCCTGACTTGAAAACTAGACACAAAATAACAACAAAAATACATCACCTTAGCATGTCTGTCCGTTTAGGTATTGCAGTATAAAAGTTATTTTCACCATCCCGTCAACCACACAACTTTCTGGGAGCACGTGATTTTCAGTAGCTTTGGTTCATTGCAAGAAAACTGGACCACGGGTTGGACGGACGGTGTCTGATGAGTAGGAGTCAGGCTTCACTTGATCCAATGCTGGTGAACCGCCAGATGTTTACAGGCAGATGTTATGGTTGGAAGGAAACACACATCATGGGGGTGGATCGCTTATTTATTTAGTTGCTCCAAGCTGGGGGTTGTTTCAATAGTTGGTTTGCAATACCGGTGGCCGCAGGAACCGCCCGATGGAAAAAAAACACGATTGCGTTTTTTCCCCCCCGTGCGTACAGAAACGTTGGGAGCAATGCGCACGGCGTTTTCTGCCTTTTTATAACTGAGAAAACGTGGGGACCTGCCGCAGTGATGGGTGTGTAATGACCAGCACACTGCACTCGTCCAGAGGTGGCCGTTTTATTTTGATTTCCCATCTCCCACGCGAGGCAGTGGATGCAAGTTTCTGAAATCTACCCAGCGGCGCCAATGGATTCGACCACAGTTGATCAGCGGGTGCCACTTGTGGTGGGGTGAAGTGTGGGTTCGCTCGACTCTTCCCAAACGCCTGGTCGGCCTGGAAGAGTAGACCAAATACCCTTTCACGACCAATATTATCCGTAATAGAGGCTTTTGGGTTAGATCGTGTAAATATGAATGTATCGTTGAAACCGGCACTACCCGGTACAAACAATTAGTGAGGTTTGTCACGTGAACACAACATGCCAATTCGATACCAGCACAGCACACCGATGTGTTGGAGAGTACACATTGGTACGTTTTGTTTACGTGGCAAACTTACACTAATTGACTGTGTTGGGCGGTGGCGGGTTTAACAACACATTTACGCAATCTCACACAAAAACCTCTTATGGAAAACTTCATTCTGTGGGCACGTTGCTGCGTTGCTTTTCCTAAGTTTAGTTTTCCAAAACCACCACTTCCTCCTTTTGTCCGCCACCGCTGTGTTTTCTGGCGGTTTACCCCCAAACTAAATTATGGAACTTGTCGTTGTTCACGACGGTTGTTTGCAGATACAGTAAAACCTTGGATTGCGAGTAACTTTGTCTGCGAGTGTTTTGCAAGACGAGCAAATTTTTTAAATAAATATTAATTTGATAAACGAGCGAGGTCTTGCAATACGAGTAGAGGTGCTTCTAGCTGGGATGGTGCGCTGCTGAAATGACCTTTGGCATTGCATCGCGTCTCTGCAAAGTGGCTTTGCTATGGGCTGCGTCTGGTGTAGATGCGAGCCCCGACACGCGGGAGGCCGTGTCTATGTAATTGCCATCGGGTGGAAGTCCGGGGGTGCCTCGTTACAAAGGGGAGTTTCTCGGTGTTGAGCCAGGCGCTAACGAGTCGTTGCCAGACTTGGCCAATCGTTCACAGGACGCGGCTTTGGCGTCTCGGACGCGCACTCATTCCCATTATTGCATAATTTGCCTCCCAATCATGGCGTATAGTTTAATTGCAACAATTGTCGTTGTGCAGGGTTGAGAGAGGGCTCGCTCTGACCAGATGGAATCGAGGGGAACCATCATGATGGGCCACTTTTTGTTGAGCTGTCATTTGTGGCCAGGTCGCTTTTGAAAAATAAGTGAATACCTCATTGGGCTTGGTCTGGTAGGATGGTCTAGTTGTGTTTTTATGTGCTTGGGTGATTTGTTTACCTTTCTTGTACTTTGCACGACTATCGTGTTTTTGTGCTGTTTGTTGTTGTAACATTGTTAACCGCCCCCACTGGACATCTATGAAAAAGAGCTTATTAGCTCATCAAGTTCCTCCAATATAAATGATTATTCTTTTTTTTGTTATTCGGATGATGGTGAGCTTTGTTACCTTGGCATGAAGATTTAGTGTCAACATCAAAGGCTGTTGCTCTTTTTAACTTGCAGCCTTTTGTTTATCGCCTTCTTTAGTCGAATTCTCCAGTTATGCACAATGTGGTGACGGGATTTGGTTATTCATTCGTGTTTTCCGGTACAGTGTCTGATTTTAACGCACAAATGTGGTCGCGACCTCAACATTATCCATTATTTGGCGCTTTCTGAAGGCTGCGGCAGTAAGAGGCTAATGGGCGCATAGGAGAGCCATTATACAGCTTACAACAAAGTCGCAAATCAATTTGAGACGTTTGCTTGAGAGACACACTTACCTGTCAACCCACACGGTTTACCCCGTATTATTGTACAGGGAAATTGAGTTTTCCGGTCCATACAGCGTACAGCCGTTTCAATACGGGCACATTTTTTACTGTCTATTTGTTTGTGTTTCTCCCTTGTGATGGGATTTTGTAGGATGAACGTTGAGATTTATAAGAGCAGGGGTGACCAATAAGGTCTGAATTGGTCTGTAATAAAGTAGGCACTGATTTAGGGTTGACAGGTATGGACATAGCCGGACAACATGGCAGGGTGTGCACAGTGAGGGTGGACATCGATGGGGGACCCGGGTGAAAAAGATGAAAGACAGAGGTGGATTGGAGCAAGTTGGAGCACTTTGTAAAAACTGAATCCTGATACTGAGAAGCAATGCGACAGAGCCGCGAGAGGAGAGCACTTGCAGTGGGTACGTGATCGTCTGCCATCGCTCGTGGATTGGAAATGTGGACGACGTCAAAATAAAATGGAACGGAAGCTGAAAAGTGCACACACAAGCACGGAGAGGGAGGCCCATGCTTGCGATAGCGCTGAGAGATAGAGAGAGGAACACTTGGATTAGAAATACGTGCAGGTTAGAGACGTCGTATAGACCGTGAAGAAAATGAGCGGGCCTGGGTAGCGAACGTCGCTTGAAGGGGGGTGGTGGGTGACCCACAATCGTGATGGTGGCAAAATGGGGAATGCTCCCGAGAATTTAAAGTTTATGTTGTTGAACCACGTGAGAACTCAAGAGACCAGGATGTTCTCATTTGCTAGAGTCACCTGGGGCATAAGTCTCCCCACAGGAGGCGATGAGTCATTTTCGGATTTGGCAAATTTGGACCCTTAACGGCCGGCAGGTAATGGCCTACTTTTTTTTTACGAATGACGTCACGGAATTTTTTACGTCCACTGTAAAGCCGACAACGCCTCGTATTGCTGCGGGTGATTAAACCCAACCCGCACTCATAATCAGGCTGGCCACCGTGTTCGAATCGTGAACCTCTGGAACAAGAGGCGTGCACGATACCACGAGGCCCCGTCCCCCGCCTAGACGCCCCGTCTGCTCCGGCCTAGCGAGGGGGTGAGATGCGTGCCCCCGTGGTCTTCACCGCCAGCAGCACTCCCAACGGTCTCATTGCCGCCAGCAGCACCGCCACAGCTCCATTTGTCACTACACCCTCAACCAGTTCTATTCTTATCGCCACCAGCGCCACCGTCCGTCGCGACTGCCACCACCAGTTTTCTCTGGTGTAGGGCTCCCGTGTGCACGCGGCCTCCGTGTGCCAGAAGGCACTGCGCATTAGAGATCCTTCTCGCGTGATTTTGCATTTCTTAGTCAAAATTACTGAAATGACCCAAATCGCCTTATGTTACACGTGACTGCGGTGACGACTCCAGTTGATGTGATGGACGTGGCTGACGTGTGCCCCTTGCCCCACAGCTGGCCTGCTGCTGCGGCTCGGCCGCCTGCTCGCTGTGCTGCAGCTGCTGCCCGGGCATCAAGACGTCGACGGGCACGCGCATCATGTACACGCTGTACCACGTGCTGGGCACCGTCGCGTGCTGCCTCATGCTCTCCCCCACCGTCTCCGAGTTCCTCAAGGAACACGTGAGCAAACGCGTCGTCGAGTTTCACCAGTTTCAACTGTTTTCAACCTCCAACGACAGCGGCGTCGAGAATGTGCAGTGTGTGGCTCGAGCCACGGGGGGAGTGGGGGGTGGAGGGGGGTTGGAAGGGGTGGGTGGCAGGGGGGGTTGTGGTAGCGGAGGGTGGAGCCCTCTCGTGCTTTTGTGTTAAATTGCACTTCTCCCAGTGTGTGCCTCTAATCGTGCGATGTGTAAACATCGTCACTGGGGAGACACAAAGGTGGTGCTGGCCACCGACCCGATCACGTGCCGTGCTGGCCACACGCACACTTTCAAACACTCGCTCACACTCTGCAGAACAGTAGGAGAACATAAAAACCTTACACAGAGTGAATCGAGCCCGGGTAATTTTTCCGTGAGGCGCGAGTGTTCCCGCCGCGCGCCACCCTGCCGCCCTGAGATGAACGTCGTTGCCCGCAGATCCCCTTCTACGCCGATCTGTGCCAAAAGATCAACGCGGGCGACGACTGCGAGCGGCTGGTGGGCTACTCGGCCGTCTACAAGGTGTGCTTCGGCATGGCGGTCTTCTTCTTCCTCTTCTCGCTCTTCCTCATCAACGTGAAGAAGAGCAGCGACTGCAGAGCCTCCGTGCACAACGGGTACGGCGCGCGCCCACTCGCCCGCTCGCTCAACCGCTCGCCCGCTTGCTAGCACACTCGGCACGTGCCCGGGCACTTCTTCCCACGGGGCACAAGCGTTCGCCGCTGCGCGACCACCCTGCAGGCCAATAACGTGATGAGACATGGGGAGGTGAGAGTTCGAGGCTTCGGGAGAGATGCCGTGCCTTGCGTGCTGTTTGCAGGTTCTGGTTCATCAAACTGGTGGTGCTCATCGCCATATGTGCTGGGGCCTTCTTCATTCCGGATCAGGACAACTTCATTAAAGGTGAAAAGCACGCTCTTACCTTTAAAACTATTTGACATACAGCTCTTTTTCAGAAGCCACCCGGCCACAAATAATAGCTCAAGGAAGCAGCTTATTGCGTGGAAATTTATAGCAGCCATGGAAATTAAAGTGAGAAATTGCCAGTTTAAATGAAAGAGTAATGTGGCTTGCTCCTGCTGTGCTCGCTCTCTGGCAGTGTTCATGTACGTGGGGGTCGTTGGAGGTTTCCTTTTCATCATCATCCAGCTGATTCTGCTGGTCGACTTCACACACAGCTGGAACAAAAACTGGTGAGTGGAAACTACCCAAACGTCCCGGGGTGTCCACAGGCTTTCTTAGAATTGCTCACAGCAGTGAGAGCCCTGAGCAAAGCAGAGGCTTCCTGAATGTTGTGGCCTGCCAAGCTCACTATGAGTATTATCCGGCGGCTGGTGTGTGTGTGTGTGATGAGGTGTGTGTCTTTGTATTTATGGGGAAGTGTATGTGTGTGTACGTGTAGAGAGTGGACCGCTTCCCATACATAGGCAGTGTGCTTATGACCAGCTCCATTTTGGCAACAAAGGTTTCACTTTGAATCAATCGAGCAGCTTTAACTTATTTTAATGGCTGTGTAATGCTGTGTGGAAGCTGCCCATCCTATCGCTCCACATGAATTTCTGGGCTTCTCGGCCACAGTTTTGCCCTCTCTTTTCTTTACTTGCAAAAAACCTGGACCCCTCCGAAGGAACATCTGTGCCGGTTTAAAATATTGAGGCTGTTACCTGCATACGACCCATCCTGGGTTTAACCAGACTGTATTGTGCGAGGAGCTCGTAGTGCACCGAGCCTGGCGCAAACATTTTGGTGACACCACTTAGTGGCATGGAATCGCCGGTCCGAATTCGATTACCACTCACAGCCAACGTTATTAACGAAGATCCTAATCTGTCCTTTGTCGACTCACCCTTAAATAACTGCCTGGTGCGGTGTGTAAACATCAGCACAAGGGATACAAAGGTGGCCAGGCGTGGTGCTGGCCACCCTCGTGTGCCAATGCCGCCCTTTATAGGTGCTCATTAAGAGCACTTATGTATGTAAGTTGAACTTCTTTCGCATCACACGTAGCCAACTGTGCTAATCGGATGTCTGTTAAAGGCTTTATTGGGCATCTTAGTCTTTCTGGCGAGGTGTGTGTGTGTGGGCATGTGTCATTGGGGAGTGGTAGTGCAATGGTTAAGAGCACTGCTAGGAACCCAGTAACCTCATTCGATAGCAAACATCAGCACCTCTACTATCAGAGTTTTACCCACTTGCAGGTCGGTGCCGAGTCGCATTGTGCCGCACAGAAATGGCTGCCACTGGGGGTACCCTTCGAATGTTTCAGAGGGGACGTGGTATTTACGCGTCATACATAAATGCATGAACTGTTGTCATAACGTGCGCGCGTGCGTGACGTGACGGAGAGCAGTAGAAACCGTTTCGGATGTAGCCGTGTGCGGGTGCACGTGCAAAGTCAGTGGCGTGAGCGTGCGAGGCGCTGCTGTCCCCCCCCCCCACCACCCATCAGGACGTCCGGCATCGAGAGCAACAAGTGCTGGTACCTGGCGCTGGGCTCAGTCACGCTGGTCTTCTACAGCGTCGCCGTGGTCTCCTCCATCCTTATGCTGGTCTACTACACGCACTGGGACGGCTGCACGTTCAACAAGATGCTCATCGGCGTCAACGTGACGCTGTGCGCCCTCGCGTCGGCGCTCGCCATCTCTCCCTGCGTGCAGAAACGTGAGTCACGATGCCCGCCCACGGCTTACCCAGGGGGCGGCACGGGCCTCGTGGCCGACACGGGCGCCTCCCTGCGTGGAGTTCGCGTGCTGTCAGTGAGTTTGTGTGTGTGTGGTGAGTGTGTGCATGAGCGTGTTAATTTGAGTGTGGGGGAGCGGTGGTGTTGCGGTTAGTGCACTTTGCGCGACCAGCCCGGCGGCCCGAGATTTATTCCTGCTTATGGTCAACCCCAGTGACGATTATCTGAACCGGTCCTGGGCCTTCCCAAGGTCGACTCAGCCTCAAAATGAGTACCTGGTGTGGTGTGTAAACATCACCACTTAGGCGTGGTGCTGGCCACCCACTCCTCCGTGTGCTGTTCCGGCTTTCATAGCCGCTCGCTGACAGCACTTGGTCCAACAGTCTGTTAAAGGCTATATGGGGATTTTTGTCTTTGTCTAAATGTGAGTGTACGTGTGAAAGAGTTTGTGGTTGTCAGTGTGCGTGGTTGTGCCTGTAGTCTGTATGTTCTCCCCATGGTCTGCATGGGTTTCCTCTGGGTTCTCCGTTTTCCTCGCATAGGCAATCTGCAAAAACGAATTGCCAGCAAATTACTCAATTGGGATTGCACGGCAGCAACATCGCCCCCAACTGCAAAAAGCTTAGCGGGACCCTCCTGAAAGGGAGTCTGGGGACTCGGTGGGGCGTTCCTGGGTAATCGAGTGAAATAATAAATAATGCACGATTTCTCCCCTGCAATATTCCAACCGAGCAATTATTGCACACCGACGAGCCATATGTAGAAATGCGGCTTCTCGCCTGGTTGGTCACGAGACTGCACATCGATGGATGGCGCACACTGACAATGATTGCTTCTCCATCTGTGCGCGCTGCAGGTTTGTGCGTCGCCGACTCTGATGATGTTGTGGTAACCCCCTTTGTTCGTCAATTTCAGACCAAAGCAATTCGGGGTTGCTCCAGGCGTCCATCATCTCCTGCTATGTCATGTACCTCACCTTCTCTGCCGTCTCCAGTCGCCCGGCAGAGAACCGTAAGCCCCGAGATGTTAACTACCTCTCCTGGTACACAGGAAGTCGTGGGTTCGATCCCAACCCTGGCGCCTGTTGTGTATTTGGAGTTTGCGTGTGTCTCTCTCCCCCCGTGGTCACGTGGATTTTTCTCCGTGTCCTCCGGTTTTTCCCTCCACATTTAAAAACATGCATTATGAGGATTTTCTAGATGTTTTTAGAACTTAGTGTTTAGTGTTGTTCTTTCCCCACACCTCCAATTGCCACGGTGACTACGTACGGTGTGAAAGAAGTTCACATTTGGCTGCTATAAATTTCCACATGACAATACGCCGCTCTCCTGGAACGATCCGTGCCCCTATGAGAGCTTTTGCCCCTGCACGGCCTTGGAGGTGCCCGTCAGCGCCCGTCGTGCTAGGGAGGCGCGTTCGGTCGCCTTCCGCCTTCTGCGGGAACGTCCTCCCCTCGGGAGCTCACCGGGTTGCGGCGTCCCGCGATCCCGCCACCGTGCCATCGCGTGACACCGCGCGCCAACCGCCGTGCCCCTTTGTCGCCGCCGCAGTCGTAGTGGACGGGCAGAACGTGAAGATCTGCCTGCCGAGCGTCACCGAGTCCGGCCTCAAGATGAGCGACGCGGCCGTGGCTGTGGTTGGCGCCATCATCATGTACGGCTGCGTGCTCTTCGCGTGGTGAGTTTGACGGCGACGGCGGTGGCGGTGCTCGGAGAGAAGGGTTGGGTGCGCTCACCGTGCCACGGTCATCGCGTCGGCGGTCGCGCTAACATCGGGGTAATGCTACCGGATCTGTAAAGTAAAATTATACGTTTGAAGGAATTCACATAATTACGTGTATATAAACATATTAACAAATTAATGGGATTGTTACATAACACGCTTGTGTTTCAAATTCGATCGGTATCGGTTTAACTTCCAATAACAGCTTCACCGTTTCCATTACAAATGTATTCACGATTATCATCATCAGCCAATGTCAGCCCACTGCTGGATGAAGGTCTCTGTACACAGTGACGAGCTCGTACAATTCCACCACGTATCTCGAGTGCGAGAATTAAGTCAGATCTCTGAATGAATGATTGCTTAGTCACATGACTGACTCGGAGCCACCAGTTAAAACATTGTCCACTCAGCCAATTGTCCGTGTTTAGAAAGCAGAGAGTGAACATTAATTTGCATTCTTAATATGAGACTGTCTTGACAAGGCTACCTCATACTTGTCAACCCATACAGTTTACCCCATATTCTTGTACAGGGAAATTTAGTTTTCAGGTCCATACGGCGAACAGCCGTTTCAATACGGGCCTCAACATTATCCATTATTTGACGCTTTCTGAAGGCTGCGGCGGTAAGAGGCTAATGGGCGCATCGGAGAGCCATTATACAGCTTACAACAAAGTCGCAAATCAATTTGAGACGTCTGCTTGAGAGACACTTACCTGTCAACCCACACGGTTTACCCCGTATTCTTGTACAGGGAAATTGAGTTTTCCGGTCCATACAGCGTACAGCCGTTTCAATACGAGCAACATTTTTTTTTGCCTATTTGTTTGTGTTTCTCCCCCTTATGATGGGACTTTGTAGGATGAACGTTGTACGGGGTTACCAATAAGGTCTGAATTGGTCTATAGTACAGTAGGCACTGATAAGGGGTTGACGGGTATGCTACCTCTACAGTGAATTTTAATTTAAAGCAAAATCTTTCAAGACACAATCGCATTTATATTTTGTTGACCACCGCGATCCTGATCTCACTTGGGCTCCTGTTCAGGCAAGGCATGTCGTGATGAGGCTGGCTGTAATTGCCGGCGAAACGTCGTACTCAAATTGCAAATGTTGTGGCTTTTCGTTACTAGTTCAGCACACCGGTGCTAAACTAGTAACGAATTGGCATTTTTGTTTACGTGACAAACCTCACTCATTGGCTGTAGTGGCGGGTTTAACGACACCTTTATATTTACGCAATCAAACCCAAAAAAAACCCTCTATTATGGATAATATTGGTCGCGAAAGCCTACGTGTTAAACATCCGGGGCAGTAGTCCAAATTGGGTTCAAGCCATGTGACCAGTATGCCTGCCTCAATGTGGCAGCAGCAGCCAGAGACAGGTGACTGTCATCACGAGAACACGGTGGTGACGTGCTCTGTCCTGTGCCTCCCTCCACCGTCCCTCTTTCTGTGCCCCCACTCCCCTCCTCCCCCGCGGGGACCTCCACAGCCTCCGCTCCACCACTCGCTCCTCCACAGCCGCCCTGGGTGTCAGCCAGCCGTACAGCAGTGTCAGCACGGTGCGCGCCCCCCTTCACAGCACACTCGGCTGCTGTAGCCGCACTCGGCTGCTGCAGCCGCACTCCAGTGTCGCTGCACTCGGCTGTTGCCGCATTCGGCTGCTGTTTCCGCACTCCGGTGTCGCCGCACTCAGCTGCATTCGAACCGTGAACCTCGGCAACAAGCGGCGAACGCGCTGCCGCTGGGCCGCGTCACCACCAGTCGCAAACGAGTTTCTAAACTGAATTGTAATCCTTCCCTTTTTCTGAAATGTTCGTATGCAATGGGTATAACTTTTAATATTTTACTGCAATATTCTATAAAATGAACGTAGTGCTGCTGGTCTTGGTGGATGTGTAACTGTGAGGATTTCTCTTGCAGAGAGCTGCTTGCTGCTTCTGCTTTATCGACGATGATGAAGGTGAGATATTGAAACGAGCACCCTTTGAAAGTCGAGACGTTATCTTCCAAGATAACAGTGACGATGTTTTATATTTACTTGGCATCATTCAAGCAAGTTGCTTCTCAAACGCTGCTCTGTAATTTGTAATGCGCAACAATTTTCACACCGGGGCGCGGGAAAACAACAGACAAGCGTGTTCAGGCATTCAAGACCACAGCCAACAAAGCTCAAGCCCCGTGGTCCCATATTGAAATGTTTGGCCAACTCCAAATTAATCAATTGGAATCTACATGGCAATCAACACCCCCTACTGTGAAAAGACTTGGCAGGACCCTCCCAATAAAGAGTCCTTAGACTCGGTGAGGCTTTCCTGAGCAAGCGTAATAAAACTATATCAAACGAATAACTCACTTGCCGTACTTCCGTACCCTGGCAAGTCAGGAGATGGCAATGGACCTCGATTCCCACGGGTAGGAAGGGAGGTTCACGAACGCGCGAGATCCACCTGTCCCCCGGTCTCCGCCGCGCTGGGATGCTCCTGTAGAAAGATGTTAACTACCTTACCTGGTATACAGGAGGTCGTGGGTTCGATCCCGACCCTGACGGCTACTGTACATTTGGAGTTTGCAAGTTCCCCCCGTGGTGACGTCGATTTCTCTCCAGGGCCTCCTGTTTTTTCCTCCACATTTAGAATCGACGTGCGTTTAGAGTATTTGGCTGTAATACATTTCCACGTGATAAGCCACTTTGTTGCGCAATCATTTGTGGCCAGGTCGCTTCTGAAAAAGCTAGATAGCTCAGTGGGTTAAATAAAAAAAAGTTTAGTTTATCGTAAAGCCACATGCAGCGCGACCACCAGCGCCTGCGTGCGGCGTACACACGCATGTACCGCACCTCCGACTAGCACGGTTGGCTTACGTACAGCGCGAAAGAAGTTCCTACGTACGTACACGTTGAACTTCTTCCGCACCGAACGTAAGCCAACTGTGCTCGTCGGAGGCGTGGCACCGTCGAGAGAGCCGCCTTGCTGCAGGTGACGAGGGCGTGTGGGCGGGCAGGCGCCCTCTGGGCTCCACACTCCTCCTTGCTCCACACTCCGTGCTACCACACTCCTCCTTGCTCCACACTGCGTGCTACCACAGTCGTCCTCTGTGCTCCGCAGTCCCCGTGAACGAGGTGAACGAGGTGCAACAGGGCGGCCAGAAAGTGATCCAGAACGAGTGCGAGGCCGTTGTCTACAGCTACTCCTTCTTCCACTTCATCTTCTTCCTCGCCTCGCTCTACGTCATGATGACGCTCACCAACTGGTTCAGGTGAGCGGACGGGGAGCGGCACGGCGCGTCGTGACGCCTCCCCCCACCACCGCCTCGCGATCGGCGCGTACCGGGTACCCTGACGGCAGGTGTACCGTTTAGTATGTTCTCTTTGTGAATGTTGGTGGAGTGTCTAAAAAATATATACGCAATGTTTGGGGAATTCCGAACTTGAAATGGTTTGTACATATGCACGTATTGAACTCTTTTCGCACCGTACGTAGCCGACCGTGTTAATCGGGGAATATTTAGTTGCAGCGTTTTGGGCTGTTATGGTGGACGAAGACCAACACGTCATCACGCATCAAATAATAATTAAAACAATTTGCAACGAGCGCAGATTTTGTGAAACGGACAAGGCTGTTGTTGGAACACGACTCGGGAGACTCGGTGAATACGTTGATGCCCCAACTTCTCGGCTGCGACATTGCGCCCTATTGCAATAACTTAGCAGGACCATTTAAAGGGAGTCTTGAGACCCAGTGATGGCTCCCTTGGTTGAACGAGCGTAGTCATAAATAATAACGACAGCGATGTCATCCAGACACTGGTTTGTTCTGTCAGTCGCATTTCACCTTTCAGTGATGACGTCGCACCTGGTCCCCAAGCGCCGAGCGGAGTCTCATGGCCCCACGCTCTCGGTCGCGGCTTGGCTCTTACCGTTTAACCGAGAAACGAAGCACGCCGGTGACATAGGCCGCCGTGCGGTCGGTACGCTCGCGCATGCCGATCCGTGCGTTCCTGACTTTCACAACCGGTCGCCGATTCTGAAAACGGTTGACCGGTTTAGTGGCTGTCGACGGCATTGTGACCTTTTTCTTTTCGGCAGCTACGACAATGCGCGGCTGGAGGTGACATTCGTGCACGGCAGCTGGTCGACGTTCTGGGTGAAGGCCGGCTCCTGCTGGCTCTGCCTCGCCCTCTACACGTGGACCCTGGTGGCGCCCATCTGCTGCTCGAAGCGAGACTTCCAGGTCTGACGGCCGCCGGTCGGGAGTGGCTCTCGGCCCCCGGCCACGGCCATCCCCTTGACGGCTCCGGCTGCCGTCGCAATGAGGGGGCACGCTTCCCTCTGCCGGCGAGTGCGCGCGCATGTGCCATCGTCCCAGGAAAACAACACCCGACGGGGCCTTGCTGTGCCGCTCTGAACTCTCTGCCTCGCACCCACGCGGACGCTACAGACAGAATTAACGCTGGCCGGAGCGGGCAAGCTTTGGCCACACTTCCACTGAATCTCCCTCCCTCGCTCTCTCGTGCGATGCCCCCACACACAGAAAGCCGATGCTAGCAGGGAGGTCTGTCTCCTGGTGAAGTTGAGATCGTGGTTGACCGTCTCGCGTCGCTATTTCAGCTCGGGTTAAGGACTCCGCAAGCCAGTGTTGGACGCTTTGCACACACACACACACAGACGACCGACATGCAGTTGTAACACGGGTGGAAGGCCGTGTCGGCTGGGCGGACGACCTTGCGCGGACGTGGCACCGTGGATACGAGACGGCCACCCACCTTCCAGCGACGCTGCTACTCCTGCTGCCCAGTTGATGTATGGCTGCGTGGGTGGTGGGGGGTGGAGGGCATAAACCTTCGTGCGTGTCCTCTGTACCGATTCGGTCTTTTTGTCCGATCGTTTAAACATTGAACGCGACGCCGCACTTTGGTTAATTTTTCGATCCTCCTGCTTAGTCAGGGCAGTCGCCTTACGAGCAGTAAAACTTCCTGCGGGCCACAAGCTGTGGGTCAGAGATCTCCACGCCTTTCTCAACCACTCGCCTCGTCTTCCAACTTCCAATCGAGGCATTTGAAACATTGGCACGCTCTTCACAACTGTTGATCTTGCCATCATTCCTCACCGAGAAGCCGCTTGAAGGCTCTTCCCGCCCAGGTTGGACACCATTGGGAGGTACAGCATATGGGACCTTTCTTGCCAGTATCAAAATCTATAAGAATAGGTTTTACCCTTTCTGGCAATAACACAGTTGTGTTAAGATGTTTAAACACCAAACAGAAACCTTTTTCAAGGAATCATGTCTGCATTAACCACATAATTGTGGTGAACATACAAACAAAAATGATTCTCTGATAAAAACTGATTGGTCCACACCAGAGAAAACTTTCTTTAGATCTTAGTCTCAAACAGACAGCTTTCTTTAGAGCCTAGTCTAGTGTTTGAGACTCTGCTCTAAAGAAGCTATATCTGGTGTGGACCAATCAGTTTCAAAGACAATGCATCATCATATACTACCAGAGCATCTTTTTGTTTGCATGTTCACCACAAGTATATGTGGTTAATACAGACATGATTCCTTGCAAATGGTTTCTGTTTGGTGTTTTAACATCTTAACACCAGTTTTTTGCCAGCAAGGGTAAAACCAATTCCTGTACCATTGGGAGGGTGAGTGGTAGACCTGAGGTCATTTGAACGGATTTTGGAGGTAGCTCACTGATATCCGTTTCTGCAGACCGTTCTCTAACTGCTCTGAGAGATTACCAAATGGAGTCTTTCATCTCGCGATACAACGCCGATAGAAACGTTGAAATTACATTTCGGACGAAAATATAAAAGCCTCGATTTTGAACGATTGTCTGCTATGCGGCAGCATGAGTAGGCATTGCAGGGTGTTTTTTCTCGGCGTGCGTGCCGCTCATTCTGCTAGCGGCCGAGTCCATCTCTAGATTTGAAGTTTTCGTAACTGCAAGGATTCATACTCTTTGTTTTTTCGGTAAAGTCACGTGGGTAAAAAATTCAAATAAACTAAATGACGACGTTTCGGGCGCAACACAAGCATCCTTCTTAAGCGGTTGTGCTTTCGCTGAGTTGTCCCCACCTGAAGAAGGATGCTTGTGTTGCGCCCGAAACGTCGTGATTTAATTTATTAAAATGTTTTACTTACGTGACTTTACCGAAAAAACCAAAGAGTATGAGTCCATCTCCCCCTTCTCAATCTGGGCTATGACATGAAAAACACAGAACGCTCCGTTTCCGCTTACTTTAATTATAATTTTGACCTTTTGTTAAGTAATTAGGTCCATTGAGTATTTTAGATTTTTAAGCATATAATGTTGCTCAGTATTACCCACGTAAAGTTTCACTATCGGTGTTTCTTATTAACGTACTTATTTTTACTAATTTCAAATTCACGCTAATAAACTTAACAGATTAATTACATTTGAATCACACAATCGTAGAAAAATGTAGTTCGGTTGTTATCTTATTGTTACACTAAAGAGCCCCTCTGTATTTTGACGTGAACCTTGCCTTGCTCCATTTGTACGAACAGTGACGAGCATGACGTATGCAGGAGGATTGCCGTGAGACCCAAATTCATTCCCTGCTTCCCAGCTTCCTGTACTCAAGGCTGCTTCAGTGATGAGAGTTTGGCTCTGTCCGTCGGCTAACGAAGCACACTCCCTTGCGACCGTCGGTTTTACATCCGCCATGTTTCTTACATCCATGTTGTCAGAAGGGAACGGTGATGGCAAAGGTGCAGAGATGGCGCACGTGCTCGTAGTGAAGAGTCCACGTGTCCACGCTTGCCCGACTGGGCCTCACGCAGCAGGACTCGGGCTGGTTTAGAGAGTCTTTGATATCTCGTCATTTTAGGGGCGTCCACCTTTCCTCCGTGTAAATCTCAGGTTTAACGGTCAGCATCTGCTCATCGCGAGAGGGTAGAGTTTGTGAGAAATCGCCGTAACAAAGAGCACAGTGTTGAGCGTGAGTCGTTGAACAAATTTGTCAAAGTGACGATGATGATGATCACTGCTCCTGTTTTGCCATGATGATGTCTTGGCAGCGCCAGAGAGGGGTGCGTGAGTGACACACCGAGGGACCTGTGAAGAGGAGTCCCCGCCGCGCGTTCCAGTCTCTCGCCGTGCCTGCCACCGCGCGCGTGGATCGCGGTTCACCCTGCCCCTTGCGTGTCTGCATGGTTCTGTGTTGTCAGTTTATTGTTTACTAATGCAATGTTGTATACTTTATAGGTTCAGTGCACTGGATGTGATATACACTGCACTGAATGTTGTGTCTACTCCACGAGTGCTGAGTGTGTTGAGCTTTGCTGCGCCGTCATCACTGTTCACCGAGTAGCTTCCGTCGTAGATGCCACTCTGCGATCGTCACGCGAGTGTGTCGGATTTTGCGCGGTGACCACAGAGGAGGATGGCTCCCACCACGTTGAGAGCCGCGCCAATTAAAACACCGGCGCCGCTTGTGAACGACATGTCCACCGTGTGTCCACCATGCTAATGTACTTCACCATTCCGTCTGCTAAATACTGTGACCTTGTCAGATTCGATACCGAACCTCCCAAACTGCTGCCTCCAAAGTCTCCCACCATCTGGTTTACGGTCTTCCCCTTCGCCCGCCTCTAACTTGGCCGCCCCCATTCTGCGCGCGCGCCCCAGCGATCACAACCCGTGTTGTCCCAGATTGGGGCCTACATTGTTTTCCCTGTTCTATCTCGTGCTTCCTTGGTCGCTGACCTGCCTTGCAAATGACATTCCTAGCGTACTCTTACGACGTAGTCGTTAAACCCGCTCTACTAAACCACCACGCCTCCCTCATGTGCCTCTCCTCAACCTCCTGCATTTTGGACATTATTATTATTCAGCTGGAAGAACATGATGGGCTGTGAATCTATTTAGCAGTGTCCAAAGCAGATCCACAGCGCCTCCACATATTCTCATAACGCAGCTACGACTCCACGCCATGCTTCCCTTGTGCCGTCTCGCATCTCGAAGCATCCTTGTAGCGGGATATCGGGCTCAGGCCTCGTACCCGAGAGTACGGCGCGGAGTCGGAGGTGCTCGTGACATCGTCTCTTAAGCAGGTTTCATATCGCACACACTGCTAAACGTCACCCAGACTGCTCACCCACAGCCATGCACGAGATTATCCTCTTGCACTCACAACGAACGACAATCCCTGTCCCCTGCTTGATGCTTCCATTTCTTTTTCCTACGATGCCAAAGCATGTCACGATGTCCCGCGTCTCTGTGCGTCTTGTTTCACCCACCGCACGTTTCCTACATCGCGTGAGCGCACTAACCACCAGCGTCCCTCGCCTTGCGAGCATCACGCAGGGTTCTGTACGTTCAAGTGTCCTTGGCTTCTCTCGGCATTAATCAGCAACTTCCTTTTATAGTCCCACGTAACAGAGATTTCGCTTGTCGGTACCACCTGAGGTCGCGTAGCTTAAAAGGTTTCAATTTCTAAGTGTGGCCAATGCAAGTGAAATTGTGTGATAACCACTTGTAATGAGTGAGGCTATCGAGCCATTCGCTTGTATTAGCCGTGTTAAATAAATCCATAAGACTTCAAAGAGTTTTTTTGCTACCTTCCGTGGTACTAATTTCTGCTCCGGCCCTTGGACTCTCGGGTCTCTGTTATTTCCCGGCCAGGCAGGCGGCTTTGGTGATCACCTATTGCAGGTCGCCCTGGCACTTGGGTGTGAACTGCATGGAACAATAACTGGGGTGCCGTCCGAGTCTCCAAGAAGGGGGGGAGCCCTTACCCGGGGCCTCCTGTCACAGGGAGTTGGCTCCGTATTGCCCATGCCATCGGCCTACCCGGAGGCTCGCCTACGTTTGGCATTGCTGTGGTCACCCCGGTGCTTCCATCCGTTTACCGTGAGCCCATTGAACATCAAACGGCACCAAGCTGGGGCAGGCCTGGCGCTGGGTGTGCGGGATGTGCCACTGCCGACGCCGCTGTGTGACCACGCTGGCTCTGTGTACCAGGTAATTGGGATGTCAGCCGTGGGTTGTCCTGTGGTTTTCCGCAGCATAGGAATGTGTGGATTGCCACCGCCCGCTCGGTGGGGTGGGGGGTGGTGTTGTAAACCAGAGGTGAAGCCCCCCCCCCCCACACACAGGAGAAGAAACCACCGACTCGGAGAGACGGAGCCGCGCGAATTGTCGCCCGCGTCACGGTTGCTCGCCGGCTTCCGATCAATAATGTAATGAAACACTGACCCCTAACGTTTGTTGTGCATGTGTTTTTGTTCTTATCCTTCCAGTTATGAAAATATTAGCTGACGTCCGGTTTTACATTGTATGCAGTTATATATTCATTTTAAATGTCCTTAGTATTGTTGCCTTTTTTTGAGTGCCTGTGGTTGAAACTATAAATGTAGAACTTTTAACATAACGAAGTCACTGGAACAACCCCGCTATGTATCGTACGCATTATTGCCTTGCAGAGCAGCGATGAGGTGTCGAGGTTTACCTGTGTGAACGCAGAAACTCTGTTGAATGTTTTTTTTTACGGTGCTATGGGCTGGGTTGTTATTTTATACACACGGCAGATTGGTGTCCTGTAGTGGAAGTGTTCTCTTGGCCTGCTTTTTGTTGTTGTATAGTTGTACATTTTTATTACCTTGTAGTAAACCTTTCTGAAACACACTGGGTCTCCTGTGGATGTTGTTATCACTGTGTGAGTCTGTCCCGTGTGGGGAGCGGTGGTGCAGCGGTTAGCGCTACGCTGCGCTACGAACCCGGCGACCCGAGTTCGATTCCCGCTCACGAGCAAACACCGGTGAACCGGTCCTGGGCCTCCCCTAGGTCGACTCTGCCTCAAATGAGTATCTGGTGCGGTGTGTAAACATCGCCATTAGGGAGACAAAGGTGGCCGGGCGTGGTGCTGGCCCCCCACCCCCTTGTGTGTCCTCGTAGGTGCTTGCTAACAGCACTTTCCCCTACAGTTTGTTACAGGCTTTACGGGGGATCTTTGTCTTTGTTTTGGTGATGCGTTGACTGGGTGAGTGAGGGGGTGTGTGGGTGAGTGGGGGGTGAGGGGGTGAGTGAGGGGTGAGTGAGGGGGTGAGTGGCTGTGTGATTTGGGTGCGCGATGGAATCAAACCGGCGACCTCTGCATGACAAACCCAGAGTGTTAAAGACCCTTCGAGGATAACTGTGGGCCGGATTAGACAATTCAGTGACTCGGGCGCCCTGCAGTGTGCTGTGTGTTCTCGTTGTCTGTTTCCTGCCAGAGCTAAACACAACATGATGCAAACGGCAATTGGTCAAACATCCAAATGCCTAAATGTTTACCTGCAAATTACTCCTTGGGTATTATTATTCGCAGCAGCTACATCGCCCCCTACTGCAAAAATTGGCAGGACTCACCCTCTAAAAAGAAAGTTGAGACTCAGTGAGGCTTCCCTAAGTATCACGCGGATTACCGCATTCATCATAATGTGACATGAAAGAGCCGTGCTGCGGTTGACATAAAATACACATGTCACAACGCGCCCATTTAGCCCCATCAATCTATCCGGCCACACGAGAAGCTGCTTGGCTGGCCATGCGTCGGCTTACGTTCACCAAAGCCAATGCCTCCTCGCTTGCCCGGAGGCACTTACCGATTGGGACTTTGTCCAGGATCTTTTCAAGAATCTGTGGGGGGCTCCTCGCACAATCCATTCTCGCTGGTGAAACCCAGGATGGGAGCGTAGTCGGGCAAGGCTTGCCTTAATGTTTCAAACTCCCAGCGAGATGCCTGGTGGCGTGGCATGTTATTTCTGCCTAGCAAGAGGGTTTGTTTTTGTACAGCCATAGAAAGCGATCGGTTAATGGTTTTTTGGCGATTTTCTTGTCCTTTCCCCCCCACCCCAAGTGCATTACAACCGTGGCTGCCGATGTGTTTATAAGTGTGTCCCCTTGTTGTGGGTACTCGTTTGTCTTGCCGCTCGACCAGGCCAGCCAGCAGCCAACTGAGCTGGGGGAACATTGTTTAAACGAAGGGAGGAGAGAGAAGAGAGGATTCTTGGCTGGTTAGACGGTGGCAACAGGGCGGGGTGAATGTTCTTGTTGGCCAGTCACTCGTGTTTCGTTGGCCTTCAGTGATCCCTCTCTACGATTGCTGTCACTATCGCCCCATGTTGCTACTACCGCCGCAGTCACTCTGCTTGTTTCACGCGTAGCACAACAACGCCTTTGTCTTCGACTTGCACTACTCTCTGTTGAGATGTGAGGTTGTCCGAAAAACACAATTTGAAGATTTTACTTTCTAATTTTTCAATTTTATAAAATCTCGAAAAGTTCATCTTCGGCGTTAATTTCTCTCAACTTATGAACAAATGAAACGATTGGCATGACTCTGCCTCCTTGTGTATACACTGTGCCTATATCATTGCTCTATACATACATTTATTCAAGAGGATATCTTCGTTATGTTTTTTTTGTTACCAGAAATAAGGGGAAAACCTATTCTCATGTTTTTTTTTATCATACAAAAGAACGTGGTACAAACATAGTTTCCGTAGGCCCTAGGCATTAGCAGTACCTTCTGTGCCTATTGGATAATAACAGCCCTGGGTGGCAGAGACATTGCTGCTCTGGAGGAGGAGGAGAGATCGCTTTTGTTCAGGGGCCACATGGAGTGAGAGAGTTTACATCGAATAAAGAGTTTGTAGTGGACGCGTAAAAGGTAGAAAAAGGTTGCAGCATAGAAGGCAGCCTGAGAGAAGGCATGCTGATGATGCAGCCAGTGACGAGGACACTGGCACGACTTGAACACATGTCGGATGGACATCAAAAGGACAATTAAAAAGTGCGGTGTTGTTGGTGGTGTTGTTGGGGGGGGGACATGGGAGACCAAACAGGAGAAATGACTTGACGACTGACGACACCATAAGAGATGTGGTTGCCAGAAAGACGTGGCCACGACTTTGAGCACATTGGAAACTGCAAGGCGGAGGTGAAAGTGGAAACAATAAATGACGACATGTGCAGTGGACACTTTACGGGCTTATCTGCCCACAGATCGTGGTGATAACGATGACTGTCGTCACATCGACTTTTGCCCTTCCCTGTAGCAATGTTACATCACACGCAAATTCTGCCAGCTGGACCGGAGGTAATACGTTTTGCTTTACACAACCCGTGTGCAGTACTCGGACATTTAAAAAAATATATATAAATGTAATTTCGTCGGGTGAAAGTGCAGAAGTGCAGGCTTTGTAAACAGTGATGGCTGACGTGGTTACACTTACTCGCCCCGTGTGCAGAGTTGTAATGCGAGAATCAAGACCAGTAAATAGTAAACAACTCAGACTAACGTGTTTCTCCACATTCTAGCCAGGGTTGTTTTGTATTATTCGGGGTCAAGCAGTAACAAGTAAACCCGTAAAAACAAAGTTTTTCACTATAAATCCTTTATATGCGTGGCGGCTAGAGTCTTCTCGTCCTCTGGCTTGAGATGGCTGCCACCTATGGGTCAGATGATTGTCTGCCAGTATTAAGCAATTGGTAATTAAATATTTAATTTGTTTTCCCTAAACAGTGTAAAATTTTGGAAAAAACAACGAGTCTGTGTGCAAAATGTCAGCTCGATTGGATCACGGGAAGTGGGTTAAAAAACGACTGAAAGGTTTGCACGGTCGTAAGCAAGCAAGCACGCAAGCAAGCGAACTTAATATAAAGGATTTAAAAATGCAGGATTACAGGGATGTTTTTAGGTTTCTTGTACACTAATAACCTCGCTGATCGGTTTCTAAGGGTATAATTCACCACCAGCTGTACATCTCGAGAGGCAACTATCCTGTATGTATCTCAGTCCTAGCAAAACAAAGATCCCCCGTATAGCCTGAACAGGCCGTTGGGGCAAGTGCTGTGAGCGAGTTCCTACGATGGTCCGGCAATGCGCACGAGGAGGTGGGTGGCCAGCACCGCACGAACAGAGCAGCGGGCATCCAGCAGATGGCAAACTAACTCGGACTTTAACAGAACAGCTGAAGGAATAAACTGCGTCTATTTGATTTTGTTATTTCCCCCCCCCCCCCCACCTTGTTCTTGAACAATACTGCGCATTTTGTCACCACCGAGAAATTCCACAGGGTACCCATTCCTTGTCACATGTAATGGCTTGCTCATTATCTTGATGTGAAGTTTTGTTTTAAGCCAAAGAGCCACCGCAAGCGGCACCCGATCCGCAGGTCGCCATCCCCTGGCCCAGACGAATGGCCCCCAAAGATCGGCTCTGCCCCAAAAAACACACGAGCATTGCACCTTGTAAAATGTACCCCGGTGGCAAACGGCCATCGTTAATTCGCTTAATCATAGCAGATCAACATTCTTGTGAGACATGTGTAAGTTCTTAGGGTATAAAAAAATCAAACGCTAGTTTCAGAATTTCACGTTTTATAAAGAATAGTTTTTTTTCATCTAAATCTGCTTAAACGGCACTGGTCTCTGTTTTCAAATTTTGCAACATCCAGCAGAGGCGAGTGGCTACAGGAAGCGATAAGGCAGCACGGTTGTTACACGTTTGTACGACAATTACTTCGAGGGCAGAAGCTATTCACCAATGCGTGGGTACCCACGGATACATGCGGATCCATCAGGCGCGGGTTCGTGCGGGTTCCCAGCGTACGTCAAGACCGAAGTGTGTGACACTTAGCAAGGCTCTCATTCCAATGGAGATTCAATTAACCCTGGTCAGTTATAATCTTAAATCACACGTGCATTTTTGGTGACATGCGGTCCTTTCAAAGTTAATGCACACTTTTGTCTTGACATGAGAAGGGAGGTTCTTTGTACTGTCCCTTTTCTAAACTACTTGCATCAGTAGAAGTTTTACAAATGGCATGAAAATGTCTGCACGCCAATAGGGTAGAGGTATAAATAATACAATTGTCCAAGCTAAACAATGTCAGAGGTGTATCACATCACAGTTAAAACGAAGCTATTTTAGTTTATTTTACCAGCCAAGGCCAACTGAGCAATGTAGTTTTTTTTTTCTTCAGAAGCGACCTGGCCACAAATGACAGCTGAACGAAGTGGACTATGACGTGGAACTTTATAGCAGCCAAACTCTCAATACGCATGTTTCTAAATATTGATAACACCAAGGGGCTATTGATCCAAGCTGACATCACAAAGACAAATCAGGCTGTACAAGAACACGCTGCTTATTACTAAGGGCTGTTCCGTTGTTAAATTGACAGTATACACATTAGCATTATTAATCATGGATCTTGAGCGCGAGGGAGTTGTTCTGGAATGTCCAACACTGACCTTTAATTCAATAAAATAACAAAATTGATTCTCACGAACTATACAATGTTCCTTTCCCACACTCTGAACCTCAGTCCTCAAACATTAAACCCTCCAACACTTAAGTGTGACAGTTTGCCGTAATGAGTCTCACCCAGGGTGTGACTGGATGGGAGGGATGGAGGAGATTTCCCTTGATCGGGCTCTGGATTAATGTATACTCGAACCCCGCCCCGCATGAAGAATGTTGCATTGACAATGCCAGCAGGCTTGAGCCTGGTTCGTGATTGAGTGGGCAAACTGCTTGGGAATAAACATGCGCTGTAGGATTGGGACTGTCTGCAAAGGTGGGCACGAGATGGAAGCCACAGCAGTGGATGTTTTGAAGCTATCGGTGCGGAGCTGTATCACTCCCCTCATTCCAGTCACACTCGCTCCAGTCCAGCTCGTCTCGGTCACACTCAGAATCAGAACATTTATTGATAGCTGGAGGAATCCGACGAGCTATCAAGCTCTTCCTTCACAGATGTCCAGTGATGTTGCAACATCTTGCGTCACCCGCAACGCATTCCGGACGCCGCGTTCTCTCAGCGATGGCAGTTCTCACGCCAAGCACGCGGTTCTGCGGTCGACTCAATGCGTCTGCACTGGACTCATTTTTAATTATTATTAATTTTCCTGATATGCGGGCCAGGAGCTGGGCTTAGACATCTACATGGGACAGCTGCCTGGGCCCGAAGCACGCGCTTGCTGACTTTGGCCCCAGGAATATTTTTCAGCCAACCCAAATATCCACATGTTTTTAATCTAAGACCATACAGGTGAAATATTTTACCGCTTTTTGCCATAATAAATTAAACTTTTTATTTTACCAGGTAAGGCCCACTGAGCAATACAGCTCTTTTTCAGACGCGAACTGGCCACTAATGATAGCTCAACGAAGTGGCTTATCGTGTGGAAATGTATGGGACCCAAATGTACGAAAGCCACGTTTCTACATGTGGATGAGGAAAATCCACGCGTCAGGCATCAGGATCGGGGTCGAACCCACGACCTTCTGTATACCAGGCGAGGGAGTACACATCTCGCCACCGTGGTGCCCCCAGCAGTGGCACTTACTCCATAGCTATACAATTACACATTTCTTCTGATTTTGTGACTTAAAGCCACAAAAAAGTGTATAGACAAATATTTACTTTAATGTAGGAAATGTTACGGTATTTATAAAATATAGAATGTTTCTTACCTAGTGTTTTCATATCTCTCAAATCCATGGCATCGCCTCTTGTACTCCGCTTTCAATTACACTCGAGGTTTTGCTTTCGTATTAATTGGCAGGACATTCAAACAGAATAATGTGTCATACAATAAAGAGGTACGGAGTTTATCCAATCGAGAAATTGAGATAACACTTCATCCGTCATCCAACCCACCCTGTGGACGACGTGTCCCTGTGGTATCACGAGTTTAAAACAGGAGACGCCTCCATGGGCTTCAACGTCACTGTGTCAAACCATCAGGGCGCTCCCTCTAACGATCTAACATTTCTCAACACCCTTTGCGATGGAAAATAACCATCCTAAGAGATGCTGGAGAAGAATAAACGGCACGACATGACTGAAAATGCAGAATTCATTTTTAAAATTAAATATATATTTTTTTAAAGCGCAATGATAAAATTGATTAAACTCCTAGATTAACCAAACAGCCTTGTAGGTGATTTTCTAGCTATTCATTAAAAACAATCTCCATGTTCAATGTGTCGTTAGAAATAATAAAGGTTTTTGTTTGTAAGATCGCGTAAATATAAATGTGTCGTTAACCCACTACCACCCGACACGGCCAATTAATAAGGTTTGTCACATAAACAAAACATACCAATAGGTTACTACTTAAGCACACACCGTGTTGGAGAGTAATTCACAACATTTACAACTTGAGTAGTACGACGTTCTTTTCGCTGGTAATTACAACCAGCGATTTTGCCAGCCTACGTGTTGAATTTGTTGTTACGCTGTGTGTGTGTGTGTGTGTATGCAACTATCTGACCATCCGGCCATTTATTTTGGCAAAGAATCGCAACCCTTAATAGAGGGTTTTTTGGGTTAGATCACGTAAATATAAATGTGTCGTTAAACCCGCCACCGCAATCGCAACCCCGATCCGTGTTGTCCTGGCCAAATGGCAGCGCAGCGCCAAGGCACAACTAAGAGCCAAGGCAGAAAGCTCTAAAATGTGTAAATCTGCCACATTTAAAATATATATATTTTGCAAATCACGGGATGAATTGAAGGACGTTTGAGAACTATGTCGTGGTCTTCACTCACAATTTAATCCATGGTAATTGCAAAAAAAACTAACCCAATCTCAGGGCACGCGGGTGATGTTTCCTGCGAGTGACAAATGCACGCAATATCTCACTTGATTCTTCCAACAGTTAATAATAGTTTCTCATTTATTCGGTTCTCATTAATCTAAACACTCAGATATAACTATCAGCTAATGAAATGTCCACCGACGCACGAAAACTCCCAGGAAGCCCTTGAGGTGGCTACGTGGGCCGGGCGTTAGTGCCTGCAGTTGGCCAAACCGTCCCGGTTCGAACCTTCCATTCAGGAGGCCACCTTGCCACCGTTTGCGCTCGGTAGCAGCGTCCATGTTGAATTCCCATAACTGTAAACGTCAATATAGAGCGGTGACATTCCAGTTACGTCCCACGCGGACTCAACTCGATGAGCTGCGAAACATCACGCAGATGACGTTGACACTGTACAGATGACAGTAATACTGTACAGGCGACAGTGACACTGTACACGATACAGTAACACTTCGAGTGACAGTAATACTTGAACACGTAGTAATCCATAATGAAGGTTTTTGGGTTAGATCGCGTAAGTATAAATGTGTCGCAACCCTCCACCACCTGACACGGCCAATCAGTAAAAAATGTGTCACGTTAACAAAGTGCCGCTTAGTTACTTTTTCAGCCCACCGGTGTAACACACTTACACGATCTAACCCCAAAAGCTTTATTATGGACAGTAATACTGTACAGGCGACGGTGACACTGTACAGGTGGCTGGTACTGTGCAGGGGGCATCGATACTGTACAGGGGACAGTGGCACCGTGTGGGTGACAGTAACACAGTATGGGCGACTGCCACCAGATGGGCGACAATGGCAATGTAGGGCAACGCTGGCACCGTAGTGGCGACAGTGACACCCGTACGGGCAACGCTGGCACCATACAGGTGACTAACACCCGTACGGGCGACAGTGGCACCAGATGGGTGACAGTGACACCCGTACGGGCAACGCTGGCACCATACGGGTGACTGACACCCGTACGGGCAACGCTGGCACCATACGGGTGACTAACACCCGTACGGGCGACAGTGGCACCAGATGGGTGACAGTGACACCCGTACGGGCAACGCTGGCACCATACGGGTGACTAACACCCGTACGGGCGACAGTGGCACCAGATGGGTGACAGTGACACCCGTACGGGCAACGCTGGCACCATACGGGTGACTGACACCCGTACGGGCAACGCTGGCACCATACGGGTGACTAACACCCGTACGGGTGACAGTGACACCCGTACGGGCAACGCTGGCACCATACGGGTGACAGTGGCACCCGTACGGGCGACAGTGGCACCATACGGGTGACTGACACCCGTACGGGCGACGCTGGCACCAGATGGGTGACAGCGATGCCATACACGCACTTGAGCTGGTGTCCTCTTTGCTAGATGCATGTGTCGTGGAAAACCTACAGGGCCGCATTACGCCGCAGCAATGCGGCGCTCGTGGCCGGGCTCTCCCCGCCGGCCCCCCACCCGACTCCAACCACCGCGACTCCTCGCACGCACACGCACTACGCGTTGCTCTCCCCGGGGGCCAGGGGCACGGGCCCTGCCGCCCCGCCCTCGGACCCCGGCGGCCCCCGCCGGGCCCCCTCGGCGGAGCCCGGCCCGTTGAGGAAGCTGGCGGCCTCGGCGAGCTCGGTGCCGCGCTCGGCCGCTTCGCGCTCGCGGTCGAGCAGGCGGTAGTTGATGAAGTTGGCGATGAAGAGGAAGATGCCGGCGACGCAGAGGATGGCGCCGCTCACGTAGAACATGTACTTGTATTCGCCCGTCACGTCCACCAGCATGCCTGCCGGGGCGAAACGCGCGGCTCCAAAAAGTTGTCGCGGACGGCGAATGGTCGACGTCGCGCGGTCACGTTATCGACCCGGTGGCTCAGCGCGAGAGCGGCGAGCCGCTCGTTTTTGGACTTGGGGGAGGGGGGGGGGGGTGGGTTGACTCGAACCATAATCCCCTCTCTCTGGGGGTTGATAAAATAGATACCACTTTGTGGGGAAGTCAACAGTGGTTGTCCTATGGTGCGCCCCCCCCCCCCCCCCCACGCCTCGATGCTAATTTGAGCAGAAAATCACTTTGGCACTTTGAATCGGGGAGGAGCGCCAGGCTGCAGTATTTGCGTACCGCAGAGCGGAGAATCCTTCCTTATATCGACCTGCAGAGTGGCCGGAAACACGACTGGGCAGGCGTGAATTTAACCAAAATGGAAAATTTACTGCGGGCTTCTTTTTTACCCCTATAACAGAGAATATTGACCGTCAACAGACCCGATTTCATAAGGCATTGTTACCAACAACAAAAAATTGATGAAAAAATAAAAATGCATTTTAGTTAGCATTCAGCAGAATAAAAAATCTAAATTTACCGCACGGATTTTTTTTCACCAAAAGTTCCAATCAACATATATTGTTGACGGCTCAATATATAACGTTTATTTATTCCATAAAATGATACGTACATTTACTCACGTAAATGTGTGTTTGTATAAATGTGTAGTAACATCGCTAATCTGAGCTGAAGCAACAATGGCACGCTAAAACATTACCACACTTGGCACTGTAATTTGTTTGAATTATTGTTGGTGGTGGGGAGGGTCTAAAGACAGAACTTTTAGGCAGAGCATTCATCACGTGCCTTTACCCAAAAAATCAACGATCAATTTCGATCACAAAAGAAAACTGATACTCCTCGGTTAGCGTTTTTAATCCCTTCCACGGAAATTACTGTTAACCCAAATAATTGCTGATCGAATATAGGAATTACGTGTTCGAAGCATTAATCCGAGCGGTAGTAATTGGCCGAAATTGGCACTCGCGTGCACAACGTAAGCGTGCCGTTAATCAAAAATTGTAACACGTAGTAGGCCTTCGTGACCAATATCATCCATAATAGCGGTTTTTGGGTGAGATCGCGTAAATATATAAATGTGTCGTTAAAACCCGCCACCACCCAACACAGCCAACTAGTAAGGGTTGCAGAGATTCAAAGAGCGCAGAAGGGTGGTCAACACATCTACGCCTCTATATAAGGAACGAAACAAGTGGACTTCTCCACAAATCTGGCTGTCGCCTGATGAAGCCAGTTGTAATTACTGGCAAAACGTCGTACTCAGATTATAAATGTTGTGGCTTGGCTCTTCAACACACCGGTGTAGTGCTGTACTAGTGACGAATTGGCACGTTCTTTTTACGTGACAACCCTTACTAGTTGGCTGTGTCTGGTGGTGGTGGGCTTTAACGACACTTTTATATATTTACACGATCTAACCCAAAATCTCTATTATGCTCAAATTTTTTACGTTCGTCGAAATCATGGGAGGCGAAACGTTAACCAGAAAACCGTGAACCGATGTCGCTGTTAACCGAGGGACCACTGTGTCGCGATCATCGTCGCATCGCGAAATTCCCGAACCGCATCACCCCTCGCGCTACGGGCGGCAAGCGGCGAGCGTTGAGAGCCGGCGAGTCCCCCGGCGAGTGGCTCACCTCCGATGGGCGGGCCGAGCAGCACGGGGCACGACTCGATGATGGTAACGAGCCCCACGGCGCTGGAGAAACGGGCGGCGCCCACCAGGTCCATGAGCGTCTCGAACAGCATGGCGCTCACCATGCCGAACGCGATGCCGAAGAAGACGGCGTAGATGACGAGGCCGCCGTAGTCCGTGGCCATGGGCCCCATGAGGTGGCAGAAGCCGTTGAAGATGAGCGAGAAGCTGAAGAGGTACTGGATGCGCGGGCGCACCACCTTGAGGTTTCCCAGGATGCCCGTGAGTGGACGCGTCACCATGTCCACGAGCGCCAGGATGGAGAGGAGGAAGGCGGCCGAGTACTGGTCCACCCCCATGTGCTTCGCGTACGGCGCCAGGAAGATGAGCGGCGCGAAGAGCCCGAAGAAGAGCAGCACGTTGCCGGCGAGGTAGATGAGGAAGCCACGGTGCCGGAAGAGGCTGAGGTCCAACAGACGGGTGATGGTGGCCAGAATGCCGGGCTCCGGCTCGGCCGCCTTGGACCCCTCGCTCTCTGCGCAGTTACAGGCAGAGTCATCCGTTAAGATGTAACACTTTTATCTCGATAAATAAGCTCACAACACGCCGATGGGTTTGACCCGGACAGTCCAAGAACTGAGATCCGTGTTCGGGTGGCCGGAATCGATTTGTGCCGAGATCTGGTTCCAGTGTTGTGTTGATTGCAGCATGTGGCACAGTTTTAATAGGCCGTAGCCAACAGAGAGATATCTGGGTTTGGTCTTCGGTGGAAGAGGTGGCGACCCTGAGCCACAGTGCGGCAAAGGCCTCCCACGCCCTGTGCCACACTCAAGGATCAACCGTCAGATTAACAGCCTCGACTCTAGGGGTCGCAGCGGTCAACGTGCTAGACTCCTGCTCGTGCGTGGCTGCCGAGTCTCGCCGTCCCGATGGAGGGAGCTGAGTGATGCTGTCCCAAGCCGTCTCGCTTCTGTTGAGGGGCCCAGCGAGCGTGGAGGCACCAGACCGCTGCGTTTTTTTGCAACTGGCAGTGGATGTGCAGAATTTATGAGAACCTACTGTGGGGCCTGTCGAAGCATGTGAAGGGCAGTCATTCCCGAATGTTATTGCAATTCAGCATGTTCTCAATTGCCACGAGAATGCACTTTTGGAACATTCCAAAACAAAAGACATTAAATTGCGTTCCGTTAAATATTTTGCCCTGTTCGAATTGAATGTTATTTCATCTAATTTTTCATTTTGTTCCAAAGCACGGCTGGGACTGTGATCAAGAACCGGCTCGAGTTAAGCGTGGCTCTGAGCCAGCTCACTTGAGCCAGAGCCAAGCCGAAGTCGAGCCGTGCCCAAGAATACAGACCTCAGTGTTTGAGAGCACGGGGGATTTTCTGATGCGGTACCTGCAGGGGCGCTGCCCTTCTTTGGCCCGATAGGCCTCATGAGCGATCCGGCCAGGCAGCAGTTGAAGAGGATTCCCGCCAGGATGAGGAAGCTGCCCCTCCAGCCGAACGCGTCGAACAGCACCTGGTTGAAGGGCGCCAGGCTGCTCAGTACCACGGGGCTGCCTGCCATTGCCAGGCCGATCGCCATCGGCCGCCGCTTATCGAAGTAGCGGCCCAGGATGGTGAGCGCTGGCTGCAGGTTCAGAGCCAGGCCGAAACCTGCAGTGCAAAGACGGAGCACGTGAAGGGGCGGCCAGAGGGCTCGGGGTGAAACATACGACAGGACGATCGCGGCCGCTGCTGCGGATACAGGAGTATGTGCGCATGCACTGGACTTTACAGGTGCTCGCTAACAGCATTTGCCCCCAAAGAGTCTGTTGAAGGCGATCTTTGTCTTTGCGCGCTCCGGACTTCGAGCCTGCAGGCCCATGGAGCTCTCGTGACTTGGGGAGAGCAGAGCAACGCGTTGCCCACACACACGCACACACAAGTGGAACCCATGCAATCCTATAGGAAATTACCTTCATGCCTCCAGCACTGCCACTATTTCCCAGTCTGGGAACCGGTGCTTTCCGTGTTGGGTGCAGGAAGAAAGCAAAATCAACAAAATCAAACAACACACATCGTCTCAGTTCAGTGTAAAAAAAACAAGAGACTGGTTTGGTAATTGTGTACAAGTAAAAAGGCTGAAATAACTTCATTAACACCGCCTTTCAACAACGGCATTCATAGCAGACAGGGTGGAGCAGTTATGGACAATAGTGAGTTAACGGTTTCATAATAGGGTAGTAGGAAAGCTATGCATTCAGGTGCGATCGAGAACGGCCGACTACAACATCGCCCTCCACTGCCTCACGCTCCTTCACAAACCTGCCCCCTCGCCTACCCCTCCCCTCTTAACATCTCGCCACGGTGGCTAGGAGATGTTAACTACCTCACCAGATACACAGGAGGTCGTGGGTTCGATCCGGACCCTGACGCCCGCTGTATATTTGGAGTTTGCGTTGTCTCTCTCCCCGTGGTCACGTGGATTTTTCTCCGAGTTCTCCGGTTTCTTTCCCTCCACATTTAGAAACACGCGTTGAGAGTATTTGGCTGCTATAAATTTCCAAACGACGATAAGCCACTTCGTTGAGCTATCACTTGTGGCCAGGTCGCTTCTGAAAAAGAGTGAAATAGCTCAGTGGGCCTTACCTGGTCAAATAAAAATAGTTTAGTTTACAGAGGGACCTCTATATGCTATTTGGTCTCCTCCTCCAAGCTGCCCAGGCATTTTGGAAGAGTCGAGCGTACCCACACTTCACATATAGTTAAACATGTAGTCTCATCTACCCATACTCAGCAACCAGGGACTTCTCTTGAAACCCACGTTTCTTTGCAGTTTAGTTGGAGGCGATGTTGTTGCTGCTGCTGCTGCTGCTACTGTGTGTAATCCCCGTTGAGTGATTTGCAGGTAATTTTTCAGCATTGGGATGTTTGACCTAATACCGGTTTACAGTGTTACAGTGGGCAGGCTTTTTGTGTTTGGCGCTGAGAGGAAACCGGCGAACCCGGAGGAGAGCCACGCAGAACAGGGGGAGATCATAAAACTCAACTCACTCACTACTCACACTCTGCAGAAGAGGGGGAGATCATAAAACTCAACTCACTCACTACTCACACTCTGCAGAACATGGGGAGATCATACAAACCCCACTCACTCACTACTCACACTCTGCAGAAGAGGGGGAGATCATACAACCTCCACTCACTCACTACTCACACTCTGCAGAACAGGGGGAGATCATAAAACCCCACACAGAGTCGTAAATTGAATTAAGGTGCTTTTTACTGTGGGGCACACGCGTGTTCCCACCACACGCGTGTTCCCACCACACGCGTGTTCCCACCACACGCGTGTTCCCACCACACGCGTGTTCCCACCACACGCGTGTTCACACCACACGCGTGTTCCCACCACACGCGTGTTCCCACCACACGCGTGTTCCCACCACACGCGTGTTCACACCACACGCGTGTTCACACCACACGGCGAGAGACGGGGAGATGTTGCGATGTTTCACCCCCCCCCCTCGTGCCCCCCCCTGCACAACCCCCCCCCCCCCCCCGTCATGAGGCCACAGTGGCTTCACGTAGCGTAGCGCAATTAAGTTGATTATTTACACATCCGAGCTAAATAATTTGGTCATTAACTTAGAGTGACAGAAATAATTACACATTTTTCTCCCCCTGCCCTGTGCCACATTCCTCAACGTCGGCGTGAAGCGAGGGGTGGATTTGGGACACGAACGGGCCGTTTCTTCACGAAGGTGGAAGTGTCAGAGGATTGCCGAGGGGTGGCCCAGGGGGACATCTTGAGTCGTGACCTTGTCCGGGATGGATGGAGGACCCGCATCTAACGGAGAGCCTCATGGCCTATGACCACCCGGCAGTTCGCGAGCACTGGGTCAAGCGAGCCTGACGCCGAATGTCAGAACCTCGTACAGACTTCGCTTGTGTTGAAGCGATGCTGCCGAAAGAGAAATCGCTCCAAGAAGGCCGTGGCTGCTGATGGGATGTGTAAAAAATAGTATGTGGAGGGAGAGATTGAGAAGGGAGGCGCGATGTGAGAGAGAGACAGAGCGGCGTGATCTCTGTGTGTGCCCTGGCCGTGCGCAAAGCCTGAAGGCCCCTCTCATCCGGTGGGCCACCAGAACGCGTGAGGGCCCAGCTGTTCTCTGAGGACCAGGGCGCGAAAACGGGCGTCACTTCGGATACCGTCAACGTTGGGAAGAGACGGCACGACGGGAAGGGGCAGCGCCAGGGGCAATGAAGGTTACGGGCTCGATCCCGACCGTGACGCCTGCTGCTGTATTTTTGGAGTTTGCGTGTCTCTCTCGGTCATCATCATCACGGTGGCTGGGAGATGTTGACTCCCTCGCCTGGTACGCAGGAGGTCGTGGGTTCGATCCCGACCGTGACGCCTGCTGCTGCATATTGGCGTTTGCGTGTCTCTCTCTCGTCCCGTGGCGGTCACGTGGATTTTTCTCCGAGTCCTCTGGCTTTAGAAATGATGTCACATGTTTCGTGCATTTGGCAGCTATAAAATTCCAATGATAAGCCACTTCCTTGAGCTATCATTTGTGGCCAGGTCGCTTATGAAAAAAATCTCTACAGCTCAGTGAGCCTTACCATAAAAAAACGATGCTCACACCCGCAGTCCCAACGTGAGTGGGGCAGAGAGCCCAATCTCCTCCCCGTCCCGGAACCCAGGAGCACTCAGTTCGATCTTCGGTCCGCGGAATTTCTGCATCCCCCCCGCCCCCGCGCCCCCTTATTACGGTTCGTATTACGGTTCGTGCCTTTTCCCGGGGCTCTTGTCAAATAAAAACAATAAAAATCTGCACCAGCAGCAAACAAATTGTGCTCTCAGATCACGTGGGGTCAGCACCTGCACAACGCTCCCAGCACGCGAGCGCTTCCCGGTTGTCGCGATGCAAGACCACGAAACGGAAACGGAGGCAACTCGACACGGCCGCCGTCTGTCAACGGCAATAAAAAAAACATTCCTCACTGCGGCACAGAAAGGTGTGCCAGTGGTGCGACACGTCCCACCAGTGGCACACCGGGCGGGAGAGGGGGGGTGCCGTGGTGTCAGCAGGGTGCCCCCTGGCGCGTCTCTCTCGCTCGCTCGGTGTGTGTGGGCATTGCGTGGTTCTTTCATTCGGCCACCACACAAGACGTGGATCAACACCGCCCTCCACCCCGTCTTTAGCCCTCGGCCTGCGCTCCCTCCTCCACCTTCCACCCCCGCTGCTCCCTGCGCTCACTCAGCACCGAGACTTTGCGCCGCTGTTACCCTCCCGACGCTTGTGTTGCGATCGAAACGCCGTGTTTTCTTTCATTATTTTTTCTACCCACGTGACTACCGAAAGAGCCAGAGAGTATGGATTCCTGCAGTCACGAAAGCTTCAAATCAAGACTTGCGTCTGCTTAACGCTTCCCACAGCCAGGCCTGGGAGTCGTTTCATTTGCACCTCTTCATCATCATCATCACCACGGTCCATGGGCAGATAGCCCCGTAGAGGTGTCCACCGCACTTTTCGTCATCTGCTTGCACGCTTCTTCCGTCTCGCGCCAACATGCTCCAGGAGTGGCCACGTCTTTCTGGCACCGATCTCTTACGATGTCGCCGTCAAGACGTTTCTCTGTTAGCTCTTCCTCTCTTTCCGGTTCCTTCCATTTTTCCCGAACAGCAACAACTACAACTACACACCTTTTATTTTCCTGCCATTGCCCATCCTACTATGGATGTGTCCTGCTGAATCCCAATCCTCTGGTCCCTCCCGAGTGCCGCGTGCACCGCACCGAACCGTGCACTTGCTCGTGCGCTCTGCTGTACGGGCAGACTCCCCGCTGCACTTTTTTACTCGAAACATTCTTTTGAGACCGGGAAAACGAACGGCCAAGAGTCAAACAAAATCAGAGTGATGACCGCACGGCGTTGGTCTGCGTCATAGTTCACCAAGCAAAAATAGCACAGGGAGTAGTCACTGCACGCTAGGCCGCGTGTCACGTGTGGGAATAGGGCAGTGTTCGTGATGACAGTAGTGTGTGGTGTTTAGTGTAGTGTATAGTGTAGTGTATAGTGTAGTGTATAGTAGTGAAGTGTGTAGTGTAGTGTATAGTGAAGTGTGTAGTGTATAGTGTACATTTATAGTGTAGTGTATAGTGAAGTGTATAGTGTAGTGTATAGTGTAGTGTATAGTGAAGTGTGTAGTGTATAGTGTACATTTCTAGTGTAGTGTATAGTGAAGTGTATAATGTACGTGCATAGTGTAGTGTGTAATGTACGTGTATAGTGTAGTATATAGTGTAGTTTACAGTGTAATGTATAATGTAGTGTATAATGTACATATATAGTAGAGTATTTAATGTACGTGTATAGTGTAGTATATAATGTAGTGTATAATGTGCACGTGCAAGACCTTTTTGGCATCGCTAGCACACCGCTGCCGTCTGCAATAATTTCTGCTACCTTCGAGGCTCGGTGGATTCTTTGGCCATCTACATTTTTGTCACCTTCGACTTTTGTTTTCCACGGTGACGGGACGACGCCGTTGTCGAGTTTCAGATTTGATGACAAAGCAAAAATCAAGAGTGCGTTGGCAGTGGTGGACGAAGCTTACGCACAACGAACCCATCAATAATACTGTACTAGAAACGAAACAACTTTAACAGTGACGTACGGATTCATATCGTTTTCCGGGTGAAGTGTGGTGAGGTTTTGTGGTAGAGCTTCAAGCCTTTCCACCGGACGCGCGTTTCCACACGCGCGCTGCCTTCGCTCTTCTCGCAGCGCCGGCGAGCAGCAACCGCGACGGGCTGCCAGTGCTGGGCCCCCTTCTGCGGGTGGCACGAGCCGCAACGGACGTGCAGCTTGATTTCTAACGACCATTAAGTTCTCAGGCCCCTTGCCAATCCACTGGCGGACGAAGCCCTCCCCCGTGCCCTGCTGGCCACGGGAGGTTGCTTGACCGTGCTTCGCCGCGCGCTGCCGAACGCGGCAAGGTGGAAGGTGGGGGGGGGGGGGGGGGCACCGTTTGGGGGGGGGGGGCACCGTTCGGATAACGTTCGGCACCGACGTTGGATTGACCTGGAATCGAAGCGTGGTCGCCAGTTTCATCAGAAAGCGGTGGGTCTGAAGTGGCTCTGCAGTGGCATCCATGGTGGGTCCTGGTTGGTTCCCGGGTGGGATTAGGGAGGGAATCGAAGCGAGGTTGCCAGTTTTGTAATAAAGCCGTGGGTCCGGGGTGGGTCCGGGGTGGGGTCCATTCAATTAATTAATTCAATGTATTTTACGGTATAAATTTGTAACAAAAGTAGTCATACCTATAAAATCAAGACGCATATAAAAATTAGAGGACACATTAAAGTAAAAGCTAAAAAGAAAAGAGGTCTCGCAGAGTTTCATGAACTGTTCGGTGCTCGGAGCCAATCTGAGGGCCGGTGGGAGAGAGTTCCACATCTTCGGCGCCACACTCGAGACGGCCCCAACTACTGCCCAGGGTGGGTCCTGTGTGGGTCCCGGGTGGGATGAGGAGGGAGGAACATTGCTCCGGGGCAAGTTGACTGCGAGACAATTCTGCCGTGACTCCAGCCACAGAGTGCATGTATGTGTGTGTGTGCGTGTGTGCGGGTGTGTGTATGTCCGTGTGGGGAGCGGTAGTGTAACGGTTAGCACAATGCGCTACGAACCCGGCGACCCGAGTTCGATTTCCGCTCACGGCCAACACCAGTGACGATTATCTGAAATGGTCCTGGGCCTCTCCCTCGGTCGACTCGGCCTCAAAGGAGTACCTGGTGCAGTGTGTAAACGTCGCCACTGGGGAGACAAAGGCGGTCGGGCGTGGTGCTGGCCACCTACCCCTTCGTGTGCCCTGCCGGCCTTCATAGGTGCTCGCTAACAGCACTTGCCCCAACAGTCTGTTAAGGCTACACGAGGGATCTTGTCTTGTGTGCGTGTGTGCGCGGACTGACCTCCAATGACGCCCACACAGATGTAGAGCTGCACGATGCTGGTGCAGAAGGAGGAGATGATCAACCCCAGGCCAGCGAGCAACCCCCCGATGATCACCACCGGGCGCGATCCAAACCGGTTCACCAGGATGCTGCTGATGGGGCCTGTGCACCAGAGAACACCGGCAGTTACATGTCCACTCCTCACCATCGGGGTCGTCGCCACAGTCACTGTTACCGGGTCGGAAATCAACGACCAGTTCCGAAAGTAGAATTTTGAGTTGAGCAAACGAAGAGCCCGGCCCAGGGCACGCTGGCGGCACGACGTCGCTCGGCTGGCCTGGGAATGCCGGGGAATTTTCATCCGAGGACAGCTAGAGTCTGTCGCAAGGGAAAGGGAGGTCTGGACCGCCCTGCCTGACATACTGCTGCCACGACCCTCGCCAGGACAAGCCGGCTGAGAAAGGAACGGACGAACGAGATGAGCAACCCCACGCTTTACCTCATCACCACCAGCACGCGTGACCTGCGGATCAACTGCGGTGGACCCATTTGTACTCCTGGGAGGACAGTGGTCGGGGTGGGGGGATTCAAGAAACTTGGCCCATTGTTTGAATTGCCGCGCCGCGAGATGGTGGTGGCAGCTCCCTCCGTCTCTCAGATAGAAATCTGACACTGCTACGTTTGCTGCTCTGGATATTCCTACACGTGAGGCATAACCGGCGTTGACCGGTTTACCACCGTTTTTGCGCGGTTACCACGCCACGACCCATTGTCGTTTGCGATAGACGGATCACTTCTGAAAAAATTGCGCTATTTAGCTCAGTGGGCCTCCTTACCCTGGTAAAATAAAATAGAAAATTGTAAATAGTTTTAGAACTTCAGTTTCATTTATTTGGTATAGCCCTGTGAGCCATTCGGCTCTTGAATCGGGTGCAACCGCAACAAACAAAAAACAAAAACATGAACCAGAAAACATCTTAAAGTGACTATGCGCAAACATAAAAATCCATGAAAAAACTGCAAAGTCTTCCAGAAAAAAAGCACCGTTCACCAACGCTGTGCAAAAATCCCAGTGGGATGCAAGTCAAACAACAACAACAACCACAAGACAACTTAGATTAAAGCCATCATTCTAACTCCGTACTACAACAAACAAACATGGCCAAACCGAAAAACGTTTTCGAAATCACCAAAATAACAGTGATCATTGGAACTGTGACCGAAATTTCGCAATAAACGACATAAACCACATGTACCACCACCAAACCCAAACACTTCATTAACGCTCGTAGAGGGGCTGGTAGTTGGGGATGCTATTCGGGCCTGGTGGTCGGTCACATGGCATTGGCCACGGAGTTAATGAGTCACGGCTGCTACGTTCTCACTCTGGTGATCCGAGTCTGTGGTTAGCCGGGTCCTGTCCTTTAAAAGGACATCTCCATTAACCAACTCCACCCCCTCCCCCAGTGCACTAATGAACATGAATGAATTATTAACATATTCTTGTTGAATCAGCATTAGTACTAAAAAAAAGCCATAAATCTCAGAGTGAGCCAGAGGCTGCAGGAAGGGAGATTAGTCAAAGCTGCTAATCCTCGACCTGGCTGCGTTTCCAACTCTCGTGGCAACGAACAAAAGAGACCTACATATGATCATGTGATTCAAGCTGTTCATTTTGGGTCACGGGGGTGGCAGTGCAGTGGTAGCACCCGTGCCTCGCAGCAATAAGCGCATGGGTTCGAGTTTGCATGTGCCCCCCCTCCTCTCTGCATTAATTCAAAACACCACTCCACGTGACTGTAACTGGCATTCGCCGGACATCTTAGTGCTGAAGAATTACCCACAAATCACTTAATTCGGATTGCCCGTAACAACGTGGCAGCCTTTTACGGAACCTTGGCGGGATCCTCCCGGGTGAGTCAGCGTCGTCATTAAAATGTTCGAACTCAGCGAGGACAAGTCGCCTCTGACCAATTTGACAGAGACGCGGCGGATTTCATCAGATCTGAGAAGCTAAGCGGAGTTTGAGCCTGGAGAGTGTTCGAATGGGCGACCAGTATATATGTATGTTGAACTTCTTTCACACCGTACGTAGCCAACCGCGCTTTGACGCTCCACGTCTTTTGCTCCCTGCCTCCGTCAACCCGCGTTGACCAGCGCGGTGAAGCACGCCCAAACGACTTCCACGGCCCGCACGAGGTAGGCGAACCCGCGTCCAGCGGCGGGTTGCCAGCGGTCTGCGCGTGGGCACAGTTGAAGCCCTCGTCAGGCAACGTGAGACCTTCGTGGGCCCCGTATCCTCCACGTGGACAGCGGCTGGAGTTTGAGCCCGCTCGCTGCGCTGCCCATTCCCTCGCCAAGCCAGGAGATGGCGACGTCTCGCAGGGCAGCGGGGGGCGGGGGGGTCACCAAATTCGCGTGTGATCCACCAACGCCCACCACCCCACTCGGTTACGCGGCGCCGACTCGCTGACGTTGATCGCCACGGTGGCCCAGGCTGTTCCCAAGCCCCTTTGTGGTATTGTTCCGAACTTTACGACCGTCTCAGTTGCAGTTGTTTTTGTCTTTCTGTAGACCCAGCCTCTGACTCGGCAATTTGTCCCAAGGTTTGCGGTCTGTGGCATCTGTGGGCAGCCCTACGGCTACCCGAGTGACGCTTCTCCGTGGGCATTTGGCGATACAGCCCTCGATGTTTTAAAGTTGTGACCGAACGAATTATCAAAGGGGACATTTATTGTATTGCCGATATGAAAAAAAATGTCTTATTTGGTGTTTGGACATATTTACACCTTGTATTATTGCTGGAAAGGGTAAAAAAAATGTATCCTATTACATTTTCATCACTGTGACCCAAATTGTGAGGGTATTCATTGGCCAGCACTGAGGTCTGCGTGTTAAGCCCTCGATGAAACACACGTTTCAAATGTTCCCATGGCCAGAGACTTTGATCGTCTCGGCCAAGTCGCCAACAACAACAACAACCAAACACCGGTCCCCTTTCACAATTTGGCGTTTGAACCCAAATGGCCTCGCCCAGCTGCGACGGCGCACAAAGACAAAGCCCGCGACTGCGGAGAAACAAACGTTTCGTCCCCCGGTGTCACGGCCCACTGCAGGAGGCCTCGACGGAATTCTGCCGGAGAGCGAGCCCACGGTGGTGGGGGGGGGGCTCCTGCGGTGTCTTGGCCGGGTTGGCTCCCCTGGCCGGGAAGTGTGTCCACACTTCACGGGTCCCCAACATCTCGGGGGAGATCTCCGCAATGGGAGAGCGGCCGCGCAACAAACTAACTTTTGCGCGCTTTCGATTTTCCCTTTTCCTGCGATCGCAGCGGTTGACGTATAAGCAGTAGGTTTGACCCCTTCCTGGCAATACAACAGGTGTCACGATGTTCAAACACCAAGCAAAAACCGTTTGCATGGAATCATGTCCGCAGCTTCTGTTCGCACGTCGTTTCTCTCAATCGCCTGCTTAACGTGGGGCCACATTTCTCAGGGACGCTCGCTCGCTCGCTGTGCCCATTCGTCTCGCTGCTCGTTTTCTTCTCCGAGACGTTATTAATCGGAATGTTTTCTACTTAGCACCATTCATGCCGGTGACATCTCACACATGCTGTAGGATTCATAACGAGCGCGGTTTTCGCACGGAGGCGTGGGGAAGCACAGCCAAGCGGGAAGGCAGCCAGAATTGGCGCCACCGATAAGTGCCCAATCTCAGTGGTCCTATATTGAGATGTTTAAATGATACCTTCATAATTATTCTACTAGACAAAGGTGATGAAACCGACTCGTGAACCTACAGGCCTATCAGCCTCTTATCTCACGTATAGAAATCATTCAGGAAGATCATGGGAACGGAATAATGCACACATTCGAGGGCACACAACCACGGGAATGGGTAGGGTTTAGGAGAGGTTTCTCTCTCAGCGACCACATGACATACGACGAATCAGATTCTGGAAAGATAAATGAATGTATCAAACACCATTACACCTCGCCGTTGTAGACTACGATCTCGGTGGAAATTGATGCAGTCATCCAAGCCCTCGTAAGCCGAGACCTAGATAACAAAAAAAATATTCGTAAACAATAACATCTCTCTAGAGAAACAGAAGAGCCACGCTGAGATTGCACGAGGAGAGTGCCAACGCACGGATGGTGGCGGCGCTTTGGCCAAAGTTATTCCCAGCGAAGATATACGGCAATATTTTCCGAAAGTTCGATTTGAGAAATAACGGCGCGGAATAAACACGGACAAAATCATCATTCACGGTCTCTGATTTGTCGACGACAAGCGGGCAACGTATCGTCCAACGGGAACTTAAACCGCGGGAAATGTGAGAAGACCTCGACAGAGGGGCGCGAAGGTCTGCCAAGTTGGGCTCGGGATAAAAAAAACATTAAAACAACGGGGTCACGTACGACGAGTAAGGCTCAACGAGCGGAGACCTCTCGTGGAGGGGGACACGAGACTGGAAGGCAACGCAGCAGAGTACAGACGGTGGGCGGGCGTTGGTGGCGGCCACCGTGAACAAAACGACAAGAGACGCGGATGAGAACAGCGTCGAGGACTTGAATCCGAAAAGTAACCTAGCAGCGTTGCCCCGGGGGGGGGGGGGGGGGCACATCTTTAAATCGACGCGGGGCTCCGATGAGCGTGGCCGGCTACGTGCGGCCGACGCGGAAGAAGTTCAACGCACGTGCGCACATAGTGCCTGCTGAGAAGTGCGGTTCAGAAACAACCGTTGGTCATCGACCGAACAAGATCGGACAAAAAAGAAAGTGAGTGAAAAAAAAACCTGGAAAGATGCGGGCTTGGAATTGCGTAGAGAGAGTCTGAAAGGGGAACGCGTGGATGGGAGAACATGCGTGGGTTTTAATAGTGGAATTAAAAGTGTTAAGAAACATAGGCTTGGGTAGGGAACACGTCACACGGAGTGTGCAGCCGAGGGATGACATGTGTCCACGAGAGGATGTCAAGCGAGGAGACGGAGCGATTACACGGGCTCGCGTGTTGGGGTCGAGCGTGGTGGTTATTATTACATCGTGGGATCGTGAGAGAGACGGTGATGGCCTGGGGTAGCATTTATCCAGCAGTGGATTGATGATGGCTGATAACGATGAACCACGCTTGCAATGTAAATAGGAAACCCAGATTTTCCTTA